AGCAAAACCAACATTGTGCGTTTGCGACCAGCATGGATACAGACCAGTCTGCGCATCCGCGCAGTCAGATCAGGATCCATGCTGTCCGCTTACCAAATCTATTACAAGTAGAGAAACTGATAGCGAACAGCATGGATCCTGATCAGATTGCGCGGATGCGCAGGCTTGTCTGGATCCATGCTGGTCGCAAACGCACTATGTTGGTTTTGTCGCGACGCGGCTCAAATATTATTTATTTAGCCTCTGTTAAAAATAATGAAGTTAATATTCAGAGTGTAGAACGCAAAGTAGCTTTGCGACATATAACGGCGTCACAAAGCTACGAACCTACAAGTGTATATAGTTGCTAGTACGATAATTTTTTTCCACAAAGTTGAAAAATATCCATTTAAAGAGTTCAATGTAACATGTTGAAGGAAATAACCAATAAAGAACACTTCCATGCACAAAGTTGAGGGTTATGACCAATAAAGAACACTTCAATGCACAAAGAAGAAGGTAATGACTAATAAAGAGTACTTCCATGCTCAATAAATAACACTTTCATGTTCAAAGATTAGGGTTATGACCAATAAAGAACACTTCCATGCTCAAAGTTTAGGGTTATGACCAATAAAGAACACTTCCATGCTCAATAAAGAACACTTTCATGCTCAAAGTTTAGGGTTATGACCAATAAAGAACACTTCCTTGCTAAAATTTGAGGGTATGGCAAATAAAGAACACTTTCATGCCCAAAGTTGAGGGTTATGAACTTATGACCAAGGCCTAAAATAAAATTTCATCTATATATAAGGCGTTATGTTTCTATCAGGATGTAGTTAAACATTAATTTTCTTAACGAATTTTAGAACGGTCTATCTGACTTCTAAACTGTGTATTATATAACAATAAATTAAACATATTATTAAAATCTGCTTTAAAAAAGTAAACATAGAAAAGTCCGATTGGTAACATTTTAATTCTAAATTCGATTTTTAGTGCAAAGAGGTGTGTATATGAATTAAGTCAATGACATTATTTCATTTCTGCACATGGTAGAATCTACTGATAACCTTGTTTTAATGTCGTGATTTGTAAATAGAACACAAAGTCAATCTTATAGTCAGTATAACTAGATAAGAACAAGGAAAACGTGTTCAATTTTTGCCAATGACCCTATAATTACATACGAGGGTTGTCAAAGAAACTCGCAACATATTTCAGTATAGAATGCTGTACTTAATCATTTAATTAGCTTGCATAAAAATTTGGCTTTCAAGATTCCAAGATTTAACCATACATCATTCATGGATACACAATACTTGAAATTATTAGTAACTTTACATTTTTCATGCATTAGACGGGATGAATTACAATAACAGCCTTCATAAATGAATATGTACGTTAAAAATAAAGAAATTTTCTAAAATAATATTTAACCACATTCCAAGTTTTTTTGGCTTCATAATTAAAAAGGATTAAATTTTCATACTTAAAGATATGCTATACTCCTCTTTGAGTAAAATAATTCCATTGCAAAAATATATTGATCTCAAGGAAATTCTTATTGAATATGTCTTATTTGAATAAAAAAGTAATTCACAAACACTGCATGCGAAGTTGCGTTCCCCATTAATCAGAAAAAAATGTGCAATAATTGTTATGCCATTTTGTATTTACTCGCATTGTGTTTAAAGTTACTTCTATAGAGTGTAGAGTACTAGAGTTACAAACGTAAAATATACTCTGTGTTTTCTTAAAATATGTTTATTTTACATTTATACATAGAGACTGTGCAGCAACTATCAATATTTTGAAATATAAAATTTGATCATAATATATCTTTAAAGATATTGACATTTCTATAGTAGAAGTATATTTTATCTTGTAAGTACTTAGACACTGACATTGTAACGCCATATTGCAGCACTGCAGCATACACCTGCTGGTCGATTTCGTTATCTAGTGATTTGTATGAGGAAACATCATATGCAATAAGTGGAATGATTTCTACGCAGCTAACATTATTTTCAATATCAGAGTATACCGTTATCCGAACATTATGTTTGTCTTATAAACTTCTATTAAATTTATTAATCACCCCCATGCCACGTTTTAAATATCTATAAGTGGATTCCTGAATTTAGAACAGCACGATCTCCACTTGACAACATAAACACTGACATAGACCAAATATGGTTCACAATGTGGGTGCAGGAATAAATATGTTACCACAATGAGTGAGTCTGTAAAAAGGTCAAACTTTCCCTCACTACCATTTGATCTTCCAGGTCGAAAGCTTAATTTTGTATACGCGCTGGCTGGTTACAGCAATAAAGCATAGGGTTAAAGTTGTCCTTTTTATCAATATAGTATCCATGGTTACCTAGTTAAGGGTCAATATCTTCATGTTACTTGCTCCCCGTTACCTAGTTAAGGGTCACTATCTTCAAGTTACTTGCTCCTCGTAAGTAAAGAACTGCGCTACGATGACAGGGATTTATTTTGTATGTAAAGCTATCTGGCCAGTAAATTATTAATAATGAAGACCTTTGACAGATCATATGGCCATATCTAACTGGTTGTAAGCTTAAATAGCTTGGTAGACAACTATGCTTAATTAGGGTCCATCCGCACTTTCAGGCAGTGAGGTTACGGACCCCGCTTATATTGCTTTGCAGCAAGGCGAATGTTGTATAAGTTTTGAATATATAACTATCGTACAAACCGCACACTTCCTTCCTTTAATCAAAATTGATTTATTTTGTATGTAAAGCTATCTGTCCAGTGAATTATCTTGATATCCCAATATAGATAATAGACAGTTCCAAAAATGGAAGCTTGGCAAGTCTATTTAAGATATTGACCAGGCAAAGGGTTAAAGTCAAATGCTATCATAAGGATTAAAACAAGAGCTATCAGGGGAGACAACCAATGCTAGACTAATTGAATACTGGACGCCGTAAAGGAAGAAAAAACTATGAAAAACAAGGGTGACATTGTCACAAAATACGCCCGCAACAAAAGCCCTAGGTGGAGATGTGGGCGATAAGAAATGTGGCAAGCAGGTTGGTCCATAGACATATTTTCGTCTAAAATTTAACCTCTGTGTGACCTTGGCCTTGATTACAGGGACCTGATAGTTACCATTTGTATTGCAAACCATCAGTAAACTATAACTAAATTGTTCCTACACACATCTTCATACTTTTATCTGATTTTTGACGTATGTGTGTGACCTTGGTCACTCGGACCTTAATTTGCGTGTATGCTCCGGACAAAAATGGACACTGAGCCACCCACCCTACCCATAATACAATCCGTTTTTTTAAAAATCAGTTATGATATCGATACATTTCTGTATAAGTATAAAGATAGCACTCAAATGTTCATGGGGGAATAATTATGGAAATATTCATGCTAAACTTGTCACATGTGATGTGGGTGATAATAAATAAAAAGTATTTGAAGTTTGAAGTAGATACCATAAGAAATGAAGAAGTTAAAGTAAAAAATAACAAGTTCAAAGAGAATAAAGTCTAAAAGAATGTGTGCTAGGGTTATGAGTCTTGTCACACATCATGTTGTTGATGATATTAAGGGACATATAGGAAGTTTTAAGTTGATACCTAAAGAAATAAAAATATTATCGTGTTGTCACGCCACAGATGCCCACGTTTGCAGCCAAAATTCAAATGTTACAATATTTATAGTTCCAAATTTGTTTGAACTTTCATTCTAAGTTCAAAGCCCTTAAAACTAGTTAAAACACAAACCATTTCTATACAAAGTACAAGGCACTGAAACTATTCAGTGTTAACCTTTCAAATTGCATATTGCATATTTGAAGATGATATAATGACTACATACATTTCCACAAAAGTATGAGTGCTGAAACTGAAAATTTTAAATTCTTTAACATCCATGAGAGATTACTTTGTCCTAAATCATTGAACCACCACCAAATTCAAACTTGACCTGCATATTCCTAAGATGTATCTTTATGTCAAATTTGAGTTGAATGTGTACAACTATTGGGGACACAATGAACGGAAACTAAAAATTTCTCTCTTTTTTTCAAAGTTCAAGAGTGATAACTCTGTCAGTAATCATCAAATCATGACCAAATTCGAAATTCCAGTGTATTCTTATGTCATATCCATATGTTAAATTAAAGTTGAATATGTACAACTGTTGGGGAGAAAATAAACGGAAAATGAAAATTTCCTTTTTCTTTCAAAGTTAAATGGGAATAACTCTGCTAAAAATCATTGAACCATGATCAAATTTTATCAAATTTTACCATGATCTGCGCATTCCTTTGACGTATTCATGTGTCAAATTTGAGTTGAACTTGTACAGCTGTATGGGAGATAATGAATGGAAACTAAAAATTTCTTATTTTTTAAAGTCCAAGAGGGATTACTCACTTGACCTGCACATTCCTATGACAAATCCATTTTTTTAAATTTGGGTTCAATGTGTTAAACTGTTTGGGAGAAAATGAAAGGAAACTGAAACTTTCTTATTTTTTCAAAGTTAAGGGGCATAACTCTGTCAACAATCATCGAACCATGAATAAATTCGAATTTGACCTGCACATTCCTAAAGCATATTCATTTGTTAAATTTGAGCTGAATGTGTACAACCGTTTGGGAGATAATGAACGGAAACTAAATAATTATCTCTTTTTTTCAAAGTTAAAGGAGCATTAAACTGCGCCAAATATCATCAAACCATGACCTCCTCTGAACATGACCTGACTTATCCATATGTCAAATTTGAGTTGAATGTGAGCAACTGTTACCAAAATAATAAACGGAAACTGATGATGACGGAATGATGGAACAGGGTAACACTATATGCCCCTGCCATTGTATGGCTGGGGCATAAAAATATTTTACTGCATCAAAACTTAAATCTGAAATCGTGACGCTGATGTTGTCATCAATGCCGGGGTGAGTAGGACAGCTCTCCATACACTTCGTATAGTGAGCAAAAAAGAAGAAGAACATGAGTTTTTAAATAAATTAGTTATAATTTAATAAAATGGCAATGGATCATAACATTGTACACTGTTTTAACAACTGTACATATTTACAACTATTGAAAAAGAATTCAACACTAACACAAGTTTCTATATAAAAAAGATACACAACATTGACAAATTAACAACACATCATAATGAATGATACAGTTAAACCTGTGTTTTGACAACACTTCCTAATGGATAATACGGTTAAACCTGTGTTTTGATAGTTAAACCTGTGTTTTGACAATACATATGACCCTGTAATATAAGCTACCTATCTCTAAATGAAACACTCTAATTCTGATCTTGTTTTAATTAACACATCACAAAATTACTGTACAGTTGCCATGTGACTAATGTTTCAACCAAATGACATGAAAGATATCATGCTTCTGATATCAAGAATGGAAGATTTGAAAATTTAAACAAAATATTCAACAATGAAACCCAAAGCTTCAAAATAGGTCAATAAAACATAGACAATATGTCAATAACATTATCAATTCATATATTCATGTACTTTATTCCTTGAATTTATGAAAAATTAATTTGTTACAGACAAAAAAGTATATAAGAAAATATTGGCAAAACTTCAAAGATTATTTTCAAAACCTTTTTTTGGCATCTATTGTTGTATTCCCTGCTTATGAAAAAACTTTCCCTTTATTAGTTATTATTACAAATGTTTCGCTACTAAGACGGTACACTTATACCTACCCGCAGTGTCACAAAATTCAAATCGAAAGCTAGACTGTCGCAAATTTTGTGATTTTTTTTATCATAAGCTATTATAGTAAAGTTAAATTGAAACATTTGTCATTTGAGTATGCTCCTGACTTTGTTTAAGTAATAAGAAAACTCCTTAGAAATGTGTTAATACATTTTAAACTACTTTATATTTTCCCGCCTCATGCTTTGTATGATTTTCTTGATTATTTTCCCGCCTTTTATTAATATATTAGCTTAGATGATTTAGCATACAAGTTAGAAATTCTGTAGGTTTATCGTTTGCAAGATCTTCTTGAAATTACTTCCGATTAAAATTAAAGTGATATATTTTGGACATGTTAATAAAATAAGTTTCTGTGGTTATATTTAAAGATAAAATAGAAAGTTTTATAAGAGTATTATTAAAACTGATGTATATTGATAAGTAATGAAAGTAAGGTATCATATTAAACTGTAAAACGTTTCATGTGTTAAGTTTAATTTCTAATATTACTCAGTACCTGTTATAACAATTAGTTATAAATATAAATAATACTTAGTAGTAAAACACTTAATAAAAAAAGATGAAAAAAATAAAACACTGTTTCAGTGTGGTATTTAATGAAAAAGCATTCTTCCACATTAAATTTGGCGCAAATCAGTAAAATCAGTTCAACCAATTAATAACCTTGTATTATCTGTCTTTTCAAACACAAATTTCCAATGATTATAACAAATCATAAGATCATCTCCCAAAGGTATACATTTGAAACTAATATATGATAACGAGTTTTACACTTGAATGAAGCAAAACATAATAAATATTCTACTACTATAATAGCTGTATGAAAGAATACATGTTAACATCACACAAGCAAAAACAAACAGGTGAATAATCATCAGGTATTATATTCTATGCTCTGATAAAATGAGTAAAATAGATTATTGTCAAAGTCTTCATTTATGTGTGACACGTTTTGTTGTTGTTGAAGAAGCAAACCTCCAATTCACATGCAATATTTGCAATGGAAATACATGTTTTATGTTTTAACCAAAACGGCTTAACCCGCTAAAATTCTAAAATGGACTTGTCCAGCTTCCATTTTAGGAACTGTCCATTATAAAATATAGGGATATCAATGTGTCAACAGTATAAAGAGTCTGGTCACACTGCACAGACTGGCCCCATACTGATACATAAAAGGTTGGTCTCTTTTAGTTCCAGTAAAGTGAGCTTAAATAATAGATAAAATATTGAATATATTGTTAACAAATAAAGTAAATTAAGCTAACACTTTTTTCCCCTTGGTTGCAGCAACAATGTAAAGGTCATATGGCAACTTTCCAGCTTTACTAGTGCCTCTACATATATCATTTCAAGCACACGAAGACACCTGGAGTAGAACCACTAATGTTCAACAAGCTAGCATGGTATGTTAACATTCCTTTCCTTAATCTGTGAATATATTCTGTACAGTAATAATGTTCTCAACTGTTCAGTCTGTTAATTAAAGAATGTGAAGCTTACAGGAAAAAGATCTTCACCACATGTATATATAAGAGTTTTTTATTCTCAACTGCCCATTTTAAGTATACCCTATATATCAACAGTGAAAATCTCTAGATGAAAATATTATGATTAAAATCAACAATTAACAGAGATATGGAATCTGTCACATTTTATGAACAAAATCATCTTTTCAAATCCAAATTATTTTGGTAAGTTCACTTATACAAAAAAAAATCACCATACCATATGATTATATATTTACTTTTAGCCAAGATATACACACTCACCATTGCATGCATCAATATAAACGTGCATTTTTTTTAAAACCAACATAATGAAATAATCAATGCGACCTTCAAATTTAACAATTAACATTTCTTAATTATTGCATCTATAAGATACAAATGAATATCAAAATAGAATTATTTGTCATGAATTACAATTTTTTTAATAACAAGTTTAGTAAAGAAACTATTATTTAATGATAAACACATCTATTTTCAAGCTCTGTTTAAATAATTAAAATATTTGTATTTAAATGCCAGAGCTTGTCACCCATATGTGGGATTAAAGGTTTGAGCACTACTAATTTCAAGACAATGTTTCCTAAAATGACAAAAAATATTTAAACATTGCAAAGTTAATACTAACTTTATATAAAACAAGAGGGCCATGATGGCCCTGAGGTCGCTCACCTGTATATAGCCCCCCTCCCCACACACCCATAAGCAGATGTTTCATGCTAAACATCTAAGCTCTAGCTCATTGGGCTTTTTAAAAGAAGATTTTTTAAGTTTTTACTATACACATATAGTTAAAAACAATGAGACCCCTGGGGCGGGGCCAGTTTTGACCCCAGGGCTTTTATTTGAACAAACTTTGTAGACACTAACTAGAAGATGTTTCATGCTTAATATCTAAACTCTAGCTGTTTGGGTTTTTTCAAAGAAGATTTTAAGTTTTTACTATACACATATAGTTAAAAACAATGACACCCCTGGGGCGGGGCCAGTTTTGACCCCAGGGCTTTTATTTGAACAAACTTTGTAGACACTAACTAGAAGATGTTTCATGCTTAATATCTAAACTCTAGCTGTTTGGGTTTTTTCAAAGAAGATTTTAAGTTTTTACTATACACATATAGTTAAAAACAATGACACCCCTGGGGCGGGGCCAGTTTTGACCCCAGGGCTTTTATTTAAACAAACTTTGTAGACACTTACTAGAAGATGTTTCATGCTTAATATCTAAACTCTAGCTATTTGGGTTTTTTCAAAGAAGATTTTTTAAGTTTTTGCTATACACATATAAGGAAAATCAATGACCCCCAGGGCGGGGCCAATTTTGACCCCAGGGCTTTTATTTGAACAAACTTGGTAGACACCTATTAGAACATGTTTGATGCTAAATATCTTAGCTCTAGCTCTTTGAGTTCTTTAAAAGAAGATTTTTTAAGTTTTTACTATATGCATATAGGGAAAATCAATGACCCCCTGGGGCGGGGCCAATTTTGACCCCAGGGCTTTTATTTGAACAAACCTGGTAGACACTCACTAGAAGATGTTTCATGCCAAATATCTAAGCTCTAGCTCTTAGGGTTTTTTAAAAGAAGATATTTAAAGTTTTTTTCTTTCGGTTGCCATGGCAACCAGAGTTCTGCATGGAATTAAATTCTTTGAACAATTTTTAAAGTTGACCACCAAAGGAACATTCCTGTGAAGTTTGGATGAAATTGGCCTAATGGTTTATGAGGAGATGTCATTTAAAGTAAAAGTTTACGGACGCCGGACGGACGCCGGACGAAAAGCGATCACAAAAGCTCACCCTGTCACTTTGTGACAGGTGAGCTAAAAACACACACACACAACATTCCAGGATGTCTGTGGACACCTAACAAAGGTGTGAAAGCCAAACAATTCAATATGCCTATATTCTCCCTCTCATCTTATCTGCCAACATTTTACAACAATATTTAGCCATCAACCTTTAGCCATCAACATTTAGACATTGATATTTAGCCAATAACATTTAGCCATTGACAATTAGCCAATAATATTTAGCTAACCAACATTTAGCTATCAACATTTAGCCATCAAAATTTAGCTGTCAACATTTAGCCATCAACATTTAGCCATTGACATTTAACCATCAACATTTAGACATCAACATTTGTCTCACAATGTTTAATCACAGCAGTTTTATACTGGTATTTCAAATGGTAAATTACTCATTTTTGTCTATGTATACCAACAGCAATGTTCACACATAATGATGCATGTACACATTCCGTAAGTGCAGTGGTATTCTTTTACTTTCATACCTAAATAAACAATATAACACAAGTTATTATTCTGTTAAAATAACACTGTGTTATAAAGTCCACCTCCTGACAAAGGTTCTAACAATCTTGTGTTAAATATTGTTCACTTTTCCCTGTTCAATATGATTAGATTTATAAAATATCCATCGGCACCCGTTAACATTCATTTATGACACATATGATTCTATAACTAATCTCCACATTCAAGTCTGATTGTACATATAGTTTATTTTGATCAAACTTGACTGAAGACACTTAAGCAAAATCAATTTTTTTTTCTGCACTACAATATGTGTTCAATTATGACTTTAATAAATTGTCAAACCACAAATTTTAATGGAAACAAAACTGGCCAAGTTCGATTTACTAAGATCCTTTCAGAAGTACAATGTATCATACAAAGTTATTCTCCCCTTCTTTTGTTCCATTGTCTTCCTCCATGGGTTGCTCTTCTATATTTGGCATGGGAGTTGTTCCCCCTGATGAGGGAGTGGCTTGAGGCGTGTCATGACGTTGCCACAGTGATCTTGCACGGATATCATCTAGATTCTCATAATATCCTCTAGCTCTTCTGGTTCTAAGATCATGCATGTATAAAGCACTAAAACTCATATCTGTAGACATGAGTTCTATCTGGCCCTCATCATAATGTCTTTGAGATGTAGATGTTGGTTGAATTAGGGAAGATGGTGGTTGTATAAGTGAGTGGGGTTGTGAAATAGGTTGAAGTGTAGGTGGTCCTGTCATGGAAACACTTGGACTGTGAAAACTTGAACCTAAACCCCCTCCTGACCCTGACAGTGGTCCCTCAGACTGTGACACAGCTCCTCTCAACTTAGGTGTTATGCCTGAAAAATAAAACATAATATAAACAAGAGCCATGTCAACATGGCCATACCCTGCCGAATGTGTTTGCTCATTGGAAGAATGTATATGTAGTAGAGCAGAATAATTCAATTTTAAGAGGTCTTTTGGTAATGAAAACTGATGGCTATAGTGATTACAGATTTAAAACCTATGTAAATACTGATGGCTGAAAATAACAAAGGGCAATTACTGAAAAATAATGCAGGGTAGGTTATCATTCTTCTGTGCTGCATCCCTCCTCAGTAAAATCTATCCACCTATGAAGTTTCAAGTTGATACCTCAAATACTTTTAAGAAAAAAATTGAATTGAAAAATTAAGTATGAAAAATAACAAAGGGCAATAACTCAAAAATTATAAAAGGTAGAGTTATCATTCTTGTGCACTGCAAACCTCCTGAGTTAGATCTATGCACCTATGAAGTTTCATAATGATATCTCAAAGGCCTTTTGAGTTATGCTCTGGACAAAAATTAATTTTGAAAAATAACAAAGGGCAATAACTAAACAATTATGCAGGGTAGAGTTATCGTTCTTGTGCACTGCACTCCTCCTCAATGAGATCCATCCAGCTATGAAGTTTCAAGTTGATACCTCAAACACTTTTTGAGATAAGCTCCGGACAAAATATTATGAAAAAGAACAAAGAGGAATAACTCAAAAATTGTATAGGGAAGAGTTATCATTCTTGTGCACAGCATTCCTCCACAATAATATCCATCCACCTATGACATTTCATGTTGACATGTCAAACACTTTCGAGTTATGCTCCACGCGGGTGAAAAATTAAGTATGAAAAATAACAAAGGGCAATAACTCAAAAATTATGAAAGGTAGAGTTATCATTCTTGTGCACTGCACACCTCCTGAGTGAGATCTATGCACCTATGAAGTTTCATGTTGATATCTCATAGGCTTTTTGAGTTATGCTCTGGACAAAAATCAATTTTGAAAAATAACAAAGGGCAATAACTCAAAAATTATGCATGGTAGAGTTATCATTCTTGTGCACTGCACTCCTCCTCAATGAGGTCTATCCACCTATTAAGTTTCAAGTTGATAACTCAAATACATTTAGAGATATGCTCCGGACAAAAAATGAGGGATGGAAGGACGGAGACTATTACTATATCCCCCGCCGCCTTTTCGGCGGGGGATAAAAAAGATGCAATTGTTCAATAAAATCTCAATTCAGGACAAATGACCAATTCAAAATAAACCGTAAATGAATACTGTGTAAGCGGTCAATTTTGCAATGCGTAAATAATTGTGATTTTAACAATGAATACTGTGTAAGCGGTCAATTTTGCAATGCGTAAATAATTGTGATTTTGACAATGAATACTGTGTAAGCGGTCAATTTTGCAATGCGTAAATAATTGTGATTTTGCTGATTTAAATTATTCACAAAAATCATGTATCTCCATTTAAAGGCAAATATTGACAAGCAGTTTGTGGTGTCAAAATGTACAGTGGCACTGGTTCTTAATGGTGCTAATGTTCATTTATAACTGGTTGCTAAACATTTTGTTCACCACACTAATTAATCTACAAATGTATTTTGTATTTGAACCAAAAAATCACAAAAGCAGTTCACTACATACACATGTATGAACATCATCTTCTACACAATACTGTCATAATTTTGATATGTTTTCCCTATCATTTCATCTTCCTTTGAGAATTTGTATAAAGTTTTCATCAGCCATCATGCATTACTTAATTAAACTGTGCTGATTCTGATATCCAATAAACTGATTGTATGTTGTAAGTTTGTCTTCAAGTTTGTTTACAACATATCACACTTGGTAAAATGTATCACTAGCATGTGTCAATAACACAATAGGTCATTTATATTACAATATAATAATTTTTCAGAGTAAGTAAACATGTGATCACATATATACTTACTCTGAAAAATTACTATATAATCATGCACTTTTTGCTTCTTTATCTTTGTATTTTAACTCCGCTTAGGTCAAATTTTGACTTAACGAGACTCCTGTTTAGTCGAAAAGAAAATTTGGTCCCGTCAATTGAAGTCCAACATATTTTCATCCAAATTAGTCAAAGTGTGAAATAGCTCAAAGGTCAAGGTGAGATGTTGACACTCGTGATTCACACGTTTCATAGTTATTTTAATTGTTGGTCATCATGTATTATTAACATGTCGTAAAAGTGGCTTAAATCAGTTTCAGGAATTAATTGACTTGTGCCAGTCTGACAGGTGTTAGTCAAATAAAAGCCTATGTATTGATGTGTTATGAATGTAAATGACATTTGTATAATTAATGTTCCATCATATTGCATACATTAATACGTTCTTCCGGTTCACGATAGTTGCTACTTTCGTTTTCGTCCGATGATCAATTTCAATTTATTGTGATGAATTGTCATGAGTGCTTATAAAAAAAATGTGCTTTACTGATGAATGCTGACAAACTTGCATTTATGTGATTGCTACGAATGTTTGTGCTTATGTTTCACTATTTATATACATGTATTAAATTTTGAATAATTTATAATTTGTAGTTGTAAGTGAATTACCGTCATTTCAACGGTTAAATATTGCAGCATCGCCACTATCAACAATAACAAACTTACTTCTTTGCACATTCAATCATGCACATGTATATACATGTACGAAATTCAACGTAATGGCGGCAGATCCACGTTACTCGAATTCCGTTTCTCTCGAAGTAAAATGCCCAGTCCCTTTGATTTCTAGTAACCGAGAGTCAACTGTATGTAGTATACCCCATAATGATAAAGCAATCATATATCAGAAGATACAACTACGTATTGTAGTATGTGAAGTAACATACCTGATGTAAAAGGAGCTGACATATTCACCGAGGGTGACAACATTGCACTTTGACCTGTTATACTGGAAACTAGACTAGCATACTGAAAATATAAAATAAAGACCAGATATTACCTGTTCGTCATTTCAATATTCAAAATGTCCTGATTTGCCAGGGTATCTAAACAATACTCATAAATGTTTGTTTTACTGTCAACATTGAAAAGACCATATGGCAAGTTTCAATCTTAATTGGTGGATTAAGACCTCAGGTGCCCCATTTGCACAAAATCACACCAAGGGAATAACTATTACCCATGAATTTGAAATCCATGGGCAAGACAAAACTTCTCTATGTCATAGTTAATAATTTGGAACTTTTCTTTAAAATGATGTGTGGTTTTGTTAAGAATATATACATGTAGCATATTGTCTTTCATGCTCCTTTCAGTATTATTTTAGTCTAGAGTGCACCACTTTCATTCTTTATTATTACCCCTCACTTGTTTTTAATATTAATTTCTCATGAGCCAACAGGTGTTATTCTTACTGTTAGTTTAAACAATATTTTATTTGTAATCTTTTCATTTACATATTAAAATACATAAAAATAAATTTTGCGAATTGTGTAGGAAACTTAAAAAGCTTTCTATAACTGTTAATGCAAGTGGAACATATGACTAGGTTTGTACTACTACTATTACATGGGAAATAGAATTTTTAACAGTAACTAGAACTGCCACTATCATGGCGTGAATACCCCCGCATACCACTTTGTCAGAATCAACAGTGGCCATTTAGAGCTCAAGGACAACCTCCCTGCCAAATCTGAGCAAAGCCAGTGCATTGCTAAGTAATGTATTCTACATGCTTCAAATGTGAAAATGTCAAAATCAATACATTGCGGACAGGACATTCTTAAGCAATTGAGAAGAAAAGTTTTTTTTTGGTCAAGGTCCCTGTGACCTTGACCTTTGACCCAGTGACCTCAAAATCAATAGGGGTCACCTTATAGTCATGATCAACATCCATGCCAAATATGAAGACTGTGGGTCAAAGGAATCTTAAGTTATTGGGCAGACAAACTTTTTGAAGTCAAAGTCCCTGTGACCTTGACCTTTGACCTGATGACCTCAAAATCAATAGGGGTCATCTACTAATCATGACTAACCTCCATGCCAAACATGAAGACTGTGGGTCAAAGGAATCTTAAGTTATAGGGCGGACAAGCTTTTTGAAGTCAAGGTCCCTGTGACCTTGACCTTTGACCTGGTGACCTCAAAGTCAATAGGGGTCATCTACTAATCATGACTAACCTCCATGCCAAATATGAAGACTGTGGGTCAAAGGAATCTTAAGTTAATGGGCGGACAAGCTTTTTGAAGTCAAGGCCCCTGTGACCTTGACCTTTGACCTGGTGACCTCAAAGTCAATAGGGGTAATCTACTAATCATGACTAACCTCCATGCCAAATATGAAGACTGTGGGTCAAAGGAATCTTAAGTTATTTGGCGGACAAGCTTTTTGAAGTCAAGGCCCCTGTGGCCTTGACCTTTGACCTGGTAACCTCAAAATCAATGGGGGTCATCTACTAATCATGACTAACCTCAATGCCAAATATGAAGACTGTAGGTCAAAGGAATCTTAAGTTATTGGGCGGACAAGCTTTTTGAAGTCAAGGCCCCTGTGACCTTGACCTTTGACCTGGTGACCTCAAAATCAATGGGGGTCATCTACTAAACATGACTAACCTCACTGCCAAATATGACGACTGTAGGTCAAAGGAATCTCAAGTTATTGGGAGGACAAGCTTTTTGAAGTCAAGGCCCCTGTGACCTTGACTTTTGACCTGATGACCTCAAAATCAATAGGGGTCATCTACTAATCATGACTAACCTCCATGCCAAATATGTCGACTGTAGGTCAAAGGAATCTTAAGTTATTGGGCGGACAAGCTTTTTGAAGTCAAGGCCCCTGCAACCTTGACCTTTAACCTGGTGACCTCAAAATCAATAGGGGTCATCTACTAATCATGACTAACTCCATGCCAAATATGAAGACTGTAGGTCAAAGGAATCTTAAGTTATTGGCGGACAAGCTTTTTGAAGTCAAGGCCCCTGTGACCTTGACCTTTGACCTAGTGACCTCAAAATCAATAGGGGTCATCTACTAATCATGACTAACCTCCATGCCAAATATGAAGACTAAGGGTCAAAGGAATCTTAAGTTATTGGGCGGACAAGAAAAAACCGACGGACAGCGGGACAGACAAGCTGATTCCAGTATACCCCCCTTACAACTTTGTTGTGCGGGGGTATAAAAATCAGGTCATGTGGTTTATTTTCTGAAATAATAAATGGCCCTAATTTTTATGTTAATTCAGCCTCTCATTTTTCATAGTTCACTACAAAGAATCATCACCAGGGTGACTACAAAAGAGAATTTAGTAATTTGCAACCAGGAGTGTTTTTTGCAACTTAATAATTTTTAGGCTGAACAGTCATAAAGAAAACATTCATTATTATCAGGAATTATTGCAGTGGAATATGTGTCAAAATGGAACAAGCAGACAAATAAAGCAAGCAACAAAAGATTATTTCACAAATTGAATAAGTGAAACATGAAACATGTGGTAGAGAGATCTTAAACTCTATTCCAATGTAGGTTATTGTAATTAAATAGTGTCAAAAATTATGTTAATGATGGAGAGTATAAAAGGTGTCACCTTTAAGGTGATGAAGAATATTCTGGATAGGATCAAATTTCACAGATCATAAACGTATAGATGGGTTTGTGTTTTGCTTTCCAAATGAAACACAGCTTATTGTATGTTTTATGATTGGTGGATATCATCATTTGCTCAAAAAATTTTTTTCTAAATTACACATACAACTTGCAAGGTAAGGATAGTTCAGTTATTGTTACTCTTGGTTCAATTTCGTTACATTTTGATTAAGTTGACAATTTTAGATCATCATAGTATTTGTATAGGGTAATAGGAAGCATAAAACATTGTGAAAGAAACTAGAAAGTAAAAATATCACCCCTTGTAAAAATACGGTTATCCAAGCTGTTTAGTTTTCCACAGGATGAAATTTCTACTACTACCACAAACCTATATGTTAATTATATAATGTTGATGACTAATTTCTACATCAAATTATTCAATATTTTACGGAAGTCGCTAGTAAAATACACCAAGTTAAATAAGTTGTTTACATTACCCCAAGACCAATACCGGTTGCACCGCTTGGTATCATACTCTGGAAGGCCCCTCCTCCCATCAGGTCCTGTTGCATTGAACTCATAGCTACCACATCTCGCTGGACTGTAATAATATCACCTTACCATCAATTTTTGTATATTATATCATGAAATTTTTAACAGATAATTCAACACCATATTGTGGTAAACAAATGTATTATAGGGATCTATTTGTTTAAACAAGAGCACCGCTAGGCAGAGCATTATATGCCCGAAAGTGTTGTTTTTTTTTAATAAGGATGAAGCATTTATAAGACATGGGAATTAGCTGTTCATCCTATAAAATTTTACAGCTGTAAGTTGATTAATATTTAAGTTATTAATAATGACCTTAACCTTTGACCTTTTGACCCCAAAATCAATAGGGGTCTTCTACCTAATATGGACAATCATCCTAAGAAGTTTGAATATTGTTGGCCAATTGGAACTTACGTTATGCCCCGGAAACTATTTTTGGTTTTAAGGTAATTGTGACCTTGACCTTTGACCTAGTGACCCCAAATCAATAGGGGTCTTCTGCCCAATATGGACAATCATCCTATGAAGTTTGAATATTGTGGGCCAAATGGAATTTAGTTATGCTCCAGAAACTGTTTTCAGTTTATAGGATATAGTGACCTTGACCCTTGACTTTTTGACCCCAAAATCAATAGGGGTCTTCTACCTAATATGGACAATCGTCCTATGAAGTTTGAACACTGTGGGCCGAATGGAACTTAAGTTATGCTCCGGAAACTGTTTCCAGTATCAATGTAATAGTGACCTTGACCTTTGACCTTGTGACCCCAAAATCAATAGGGGTCTTCTTCCCAATATGGACAATCATCCTATTAAGTTTGATCACTGTGGGTCAATTGGAACTTAAGTTATGCTCCAGAAACTGTTTTAAGTATCAAGGTAATAGCGACCTTGACCTTTGACCTTGTGACCCCAAAATCAATAGGGGTCTTCTACCTTATATGGACAATCATCCCATGAAGTTTGATCATTGTCGAATGGAACTTAAGTTATGCTCCGGAAACTGTTTTCAGTTATAAGGTTATAGTGACCTTGACCTTTTGACCCCAAAATCAATAGGGGTCTTCTACCCAATATGGACAATCATCCTATGAAGTTTGAACATTGTGGGCCAAATGGAACTTAAGTTATGCTCCGGAAACCAAATTGCTAACGGACGGACGGACGTCCGTACCAAAATTTGATGTTTATGAGGCAAATGAGCTCATAAACACCACCTGGACCAACGTCCATAAGCACAATAAGCTCATAAAAACAAAAAAATAGCTCTTAATTTGAATTTTATGAGTTTATGTTCTTTATTTAACTACAGAATGAAGCTCATAATAATCAAATGTTGGCTCAGACAGACAGACAGACGGACACCAGGGGGTATAACATAATATGCCATTTCGGGCATATAAAAATTAAAGATTCTTCATTAGTATCATAAAATCATGCTTTAAACCTATTTTCATAATTACAGATTTGTTTTTAAAAGAAAAATAATCAAAGGAAAAGACTTTAGAAATATTCTAAAATATAAAATTGATCAGTGAATTATAAATAATAAAGTTTAAAAGAGTATAAAGATATATATCTGTTGCCTGTAGTTGACAAAACTATAATTTAAATTCTGGAAATAATACATCCAAAATACATATATCCTACATGCTATAAATTACAGTTAAATGGTAAAATCCATAAAAAAAATTCCGGAACATTTTATTCTGTTCACATACAAAATTCATGTATATTATAAAACAGGTATGTTACAACTCGTTATATAATTGACAAAAAGATTAAACAAGAGGGCCATGATGGCCCTGAGGTTGCTCACCTGTATATAGGCCCCCCAAACCCCCACCCACCCCAACGTTGAAGGGCCAATTTAACCCAAGGGCTTTTATTTGCACAAACTTGGTAGACACCCATAAGAAGATGTTTCATGCTAAACATCTAAGCTCTAGCTCATTGGGCTTTTTAAAAGTTTAAAAGTTTTTACTATACACATATAGTTAATATCAATGACCCCTGGGGCGGGGCCAATTTTGACCCTAGGGCTTTTATTTGAACAAACTTGGTAGACACTCACTAAAAGATGTTTCATGCCTTATATCTTAACTCAAGCTATTTGGGTTTTTTCAAAGAAGAATTTTTAAGTTTTTGCTATACACATATAAGGAAAATCAATGACCCCCGGGGCGGTGCCAATTTTGACCCCAGGGCTTTTATTTTAACAAACTTGGTAGACACCTATTAAAACATGTTTGATGCTAAATATCTTATCCATAGCTCTTTGAGTTCTTTAAAGGAAGATTTTTTAAGTTTTTACTATATGCATGTAGGGAAAATCAATGACCCCCCCCCCCCGGGGCGGGGCCAATTTTAACCCCAGGGCTTTTATTTGAACAAACTTGGTATCCACTTATTAGAACATGTTTCAAGCTAAATATCTTAGCTCTAACTCCTTTGGTTCTTTAAAAGATGATTTTTTAAGTTTTTACTATATGCATGTAGGGAAATCAATGTCCCCCTGGGGCGGGGCCAATTTTGACCCCAGGGCTTTTATTTGAACAAACTTGGTAGACACCTATTAGAACATGTTTGATGCTCAATATCTTAGCCATAGCTCTTTGAGTTCTTTAAAAGAAGATTTTTTAAGTTTTTTACTATATGCATATAGGGAAAATCAATGACCCCCCCCCCCCCCCGGGCGAGGCCAATTTTGACCCAAGGGCTTTTATATGCACAAACTTGGTAGACACCCATTAGAACATGTTTCATGCTAAATATCTAAGCTCTAGCTCTTTGGGTTCTTTAAAAGAAGATTTTTTAAGTTTTTACTATATGTATATAGGGAAAATCAATGACCCCCGGGGCGGGGCCAATTTTGACCCCAGGGCTTTTATTTGAACAAACTTGGTAGACACCCACTAGAAGAGGTTTCATGCCAAATATCTAAGCTCTAGCTCTTATGGTTTTTTAAAAGAAGGTATTTAAAGTTTTTTTCTTTCAGTTGCCATGGCAACCAGAGTTCTGCATGGAATTAAATTCTTTGAACACTTTTTAAAGGTGACCACCAAAGGAACATTCCTGTGAAGTTTGAATGAAATTGGCTTAGTGGTTTATGAGGAGATGTCATTTAAAGTAAAAGTTTACAGACGGACGACGGACAGACGGACGCCGGACGAAAAGCGATCACAAAAGCTCACCCTGTCACTTTGTGACAGGTGAGCTAAAAAAGCAAAAACAAAAAAAAATTATTGAATACACAATGTATCTTTTTTTAAACATTTTGTCAGATATAGCTTTATATCCTTAAACAACATCAGATATATTCTGTTAGTGACTTACTGTGATCTTTGACATTATGTAGGAACATGCTGCAATTTTCTGGAGGCTTCCATTCAGGGTTGGTTAACTATAAAACAAAAATATGTATATATGAGAATAAAGTAACAAAAGAGATCTTACAAAAGCTCCTTGGACTTTACCATAGAGAAAAAACATTTAGGGAAAAAAGTATGCATTAAATGCCAAATTATATTGCAAATATATCATGAAACTGAATTTAAATATATTTATTACAAAGCATTTAAAACTGGGAAGAAAATTACTCAAATGAAAAGAAAATGTCACAGTGACTTTTATGTACTTACATGGAAATGCATGAGTGACATTTCTGTTTTACCATCTTCTCCTTGTTCTTTCTGACTGGCCTGTGACTCCTCCCCATTTGTCCACTATTATATACAATTGTTAGAAAATTGTTACTATAGATACAGATTTTGTCAGTTTATATGGCCCAGTGAATATGCTTGTAAAAACAGCAAACATCTGTTTATATGACCATATAACAATAATAGCCTGTTAGAATTCTTTATAATAATATATCTATATTTCCTTCCTTTGATAAAAAATAAAATTCAATTAATAAAACAGATTTAAGAAGCAGTATACATGTATATAGTTAATAAAAACATAATTGAAAAATTGAAGTTTCAAACAAACAGTACTATAATACTTCAAGTATGAAACTTTGAAAGGCCAATGCCAATTCTGAATAATTCAAATGCAATTAATTAGATAAAGAGTATCATGATAGTCAAGCCAAAACTTTAACCCTTCACCTGTTTAATTTCTGTAAAGAATTTGCCATGCTTTAAAATCAAAATAAAACATTCAAAGTTTAAGGGAATTCATTAACAAAATAGAACTAACAACAGTATAAAGCCTGGTCAGACTGTATTGATATGTAGATTGGCATGGCTCTATACTGGTAGTAAAGCCTTATCACTTTTGGTTCTAGCAGAAGATTTAGGTTAACTTGTAATTTGAGCCGCGCCATGACAAAACCAACATAGTGTGTTTGTGACCAGCATGGATTCAGACCAGCCTGCGCATCCGCACAGTCTGATCAGGATCCATGCTGTTCGCTTTCCAACTCTATTACAAGTAGAGAAACTGATAGCGAACAGCATGGATCCTGATCAGACTGCGCAGATGCTCAGGCTGGTCTGGATCCATGCTGGTCGCAAACACACTATGTTGGATTTGTCGTGATGCGGCTCATTTAATTACTTATTCAAGCTGATACATACCTGTGGATTACCATGTTTTCTAATGTCCATTTGAGCAAAGGAGCACACATCACCCACCCCAACAACATCTACTGTAAAGTTATGGAAGAACTCCACAAAGTCACCAGCTTTTCCTCGGAATTTGAATATCAACAAAAGCGGAGTGATGAGTGGACTAAGTAATTCCTCTAGTAGGTATATCTAAACAATATATATAGCATTTATACACATGTGTGAAGTAAGGATCTCATGAACAGAAAACATGAACAATTATCATAGTAGTTATATGAAATATATTTCTGATCTTCAATTATCCTTCAGTTTTTATTTTTCAACCTTCTGGTAACAGGTCTTATAGACTCTAATTATAAAAAGTTTAAATCATAAATTTAAGAAAAAACGTAAAGAAAAAAAACAAGCGAAATAGGAAATAGTGAACTTAGAGACTGTAATGAAACTACTATTATATTGAAAGTACAATGTATATTATAAAATGGCAACATCTAGCAATTATAAAATCATTTTAAGAAGGTAAAGACAAGGTTTTGACACCACAAATTATGAAAATAAAGGCACTGCCTATATACAATGTTATTGTTGTCATTCAAATATGAACACTACTAAATTTAAAGCAATGCTTTAAATGCCGGAGATAAGCACATCTAGTTTTAGTTTACTCGATGTACTCAAATTATTTCCAATTAGCTTAAATTAAAACTATATTAGGTTTATTGAAGGCAATTTGAATTATTACTCCTAATGACTGTGGGTTAAAATCCCAATACAAAATATACAAAATTATTCAGTATCTTACCAAAAAACACCTACTGGTCGGGGAGCATCAACTGGACACTATTTGAAAAATTTCCAGATGTGTTTATAATTTTAAAGCTAGAGAAAATTTGACACAATACAGCTAACTAACAAATTAGTTCATTTATTCCTGATTATGTGAACACTTGTCCAGGAGGGTATCAAAATAACCTAAATTGTCCATACTACAGTACCATGTGTCCGAACAGATATGTACACGATGTTGATTTAATCCAGATTAAAGCTTGGTTGTTTTAATTTTTTATATCTAACATGATATACAATATTTCAGCAGCAAATGCTTAATTTTTGGATATTCTACTGTTTACCCAGCAAATGAATATAGCCAGCATAAGAAATCAGGTATTGCGCTCTTGGCGTCTAAATTTTTAATGTCAATGTCCTTGAAATAGACATTAAAATATTACCATTTTCGATTGTTGAAATGAATCTTATAACTTAATTATAGAAGAAACATGCATTTATGGTTGATAAAAAAAGCCACTGATTGTTGACAACCACTGAACAAAAAACTAAATCAGGCATTTTCAGCGCTGTCTGGGTGGTCCTCAATCATTAAACAGCTTAATGTTCAATAAAAGGTACATGCTCAAACCCAGATAAATGGACGACCCTTTAATTTTTGGCACTGATATACCTCAAGATATCTTTAAAGTTTTAAGCTTGATTAATAAGTAAAACCATTTACAATAAGAATCCCATTGTAATTAACATTCTAAACGTTTCCAAATCTACTTCTCTTTTAGTAAGAAGTTATTGAACTTCCAATACTGTATAAATATGTGCAATAAGTCAGAAATTTAAATACGATAATAGAGTAGGAAGACAAATGAAAATATGGTATATTTATTAACAAGTGGACTTTTAAAACTTTAAAAAATTGGCAAAAAAACTTGTTCTTATGGGCAAGTTGTAAGATGTTGCTACTCAAAGGTTTTTATAGAGTTTAAAGTTTAGATCAACTGAGAAAGAAAATGCGAAATTTCCACATACAAATATTAGAAATTTTTTAATTTTGTTACTATTTTTATATATCATGTGACTTACCATCTTACACAATTTTCATACTTCAGATAAATTTAATTTTTGTAAATTTTATCCTGATGAAGAACCAGATAGGTTCAAAACCGGTAGATCTCTATTAGAATTTTGTTCACATTTATCCATTGTTGATGTGTGTTTTCTTTGTATTCTTCCTTTTCATCCAAATATAAGAAAAGTTAGAGAACAGACTCAGTACTTACTGCTTTAAACTGGAAGAGTAAGGAGAATTCTCCCCTAACTTTAGATGTATGTGCATTTCCACTCCAGTGATCAGGCATGTAATGTATCTGCGCCAACACGTTCCTTAATAAGACTTCCGGACAATACACAGCATGCTGTAAACATGATTATATCATTAAGTTCTCCAAACTATAATCATAATAAATATCTTACATGGACTTGACCATCGTTCAATATGGACTTTATCATTTATAACTTTTAGGGTAATTTTCAGAATATATTTTGGCTGAATAGCAAACAGTGTAGACAATGATCAGACAGCAGGATTATAATGTTGGTTAATGTTCTATGTAAACTTTTTGAAGTTACCTCCCCTCTATGTCAACTTTTTGAAGCTACCTCCCTTTTATGTAAACATTTTGAAGTTACCTCCTCTTTATGTAAACTTTTTGAAGTTACCTCCCCTCTATGTCAACTTTTTTTTGAAGTTACCTCCCCTCTATGTAAACTTTTTGAAGTTACCTCCCCTCTATGTAAACTTTTTGAAGTAACCTCCTCTCTATGTCAACTTATTGAAGTTACCTCCCCTCTATGTCAACTTTTTGAAGTTACCTCCTCTCTATGTAAACTTTTTGAAGTAACCTCCTCTCTATGTCAACTTTTTGAAGTAACCTCCCCTCTATGTAAACTTTTTGAAGTTACCTCCCCTCTATGTAAACTTTTTGAAGTTACCTCCCCTCTATGTAAACTTTTTGAAGTTACCTCCCCTCTATGTCAACTTTTTGAAGTTACCTCCCCTCTATGTAAACTTTTTGAAGCTACCTCCCCTCTATGTAAACTTTTTGAAGTAACCTCCTCTCTATGTCAACTTTTTGAAGTAACCTCCCCTCTATGTCAACTTTTTGAAGTTACCTCCCTCTATGTCAACTTTTTGAAGTTACCTCCCCTCTATGTAAACTTTTTGAAGTTACCTCCTCTCTATGTCAACTTTTTGAAGTTACCTCCCCTCTATGTAAACTTTTTGAAGTTACCTCCCCTCTATGTCAACTTTTTGAAGTTACCTCCCCTCTATGTAAACTTTCTGAAGTTACCTCCCCTCTATGTCAACTTTTTGAAGTTACCTCCCCTCTATGTAAACTTTTTGAAGCTACCTCCCCTCTATGTAAACTTTTTGAAGTAACCTCCTCTCTATGTCAACTTTTTGAAGTAACCTCCCCTCTATGTCAACTTTTTGAAGTTACCTCCCCTCTATGTAAACTTTTTGAAATTACCTCCCCTGTCATATTAATATCATACATTTAAACATTTATAAAACAACAATGAAACTGTTTTGATTTAGATAAAAAGTTAAATTGATGTTTGTTTTTTTCAACCAATATTTTTATACAAGACTGTATGTGATGATAACTAGTAACAATCAGATCAAAAAACATTCAATAGATTTTAAAACTGTATTTTTATTTGACCATATTTATTCAAACATATTTTTTCACCATTTGAATACTGTTAATAGTCACTGTCTGAAAAAAATATTTTATGCTTTTAATTCATATACATCCTCAGCAAAAATACTTTGGGTTCATTAATCATTTAATTAAATAAAACATGGCACTAATTGAACTGCAACCATTCTACTAAAAATAGAACAGCTTCAAATTTTACCACAATTTTCATAAAACTCCCTTTGATTTGCATATAGCATTGCATTTTTCATAACTTTTATATTGTTTGTGGTTAAAAGATTTGATATACATCAATTTATCAAACTGACTTCTGAACAAATGTCTGGTACAATAAAAGGCCTTCATGTATATAGGGATACAGTTTTGTGCATTAAGAGAAAGGTTGTGAAGCCACACAAAATATATCAGAGCAAATAAAAAGTAATTATAACTGAAATTGTGTCTAAGTTTACAACAATATATGTCAAATTGTCGTGTGTGCTAAATGACCTGAGAGTAATAAAAAAAATGGGTAAAAGAGAAAAGAATCAACTATCCAGGTGGATTGAAGATTAAGAGATCCCGACCCCCAGGCAACACTACTCCTTCCCTCCTAATCTACTAATCAACCCCAATTTTTTTATAATCTGCTCATCCTATATATAACATAAAACTATAGTATATTCAACTACAACACAATAGTAGTTTAATTCTTGACTTATAATTAACAAATCACTCACCTCATCTGGTATAAACACTTTACATGATGTCACAATAACACCTGGAAAAAATATCAATATTATAAACAGTATATCATAGACAAAAGTCTGGAACATTATTTTTTATTTAAACAGCTGTAGTTATAACAAATGTTTGCTCTGCTTTGGTTTATACAGAATTTATTTTAGTTTGATTGTGTAGGAAGCTATAAGCTTATAGATACGCTTTTGAATACCTGGGACTAACCAGTACTGAGAAATAAGTGTAAAGTTTCTTTCAACAACTTGCCCCTGACGGGATTTGAAATATAAATTTACAATTGTTTGTTGTCATATAACATTTAAATAATCTTTATAACTAAAACCGTAAACTACTGATGCATTTATCTCCCCATAAAGATTAAAACTTGACACAATACATGTATATAAAGCAATACGGATATTATAAGAGTATCTTAGTCTGGAACTTGTATTTGACTTGACAGGATTTCATGTGGCTTGGAAATGCTAAATGTGATCTGTTCTAGTAAAATCATTGTGATCCAAATACAAGTAATAGATCAAGATAATCACATATATCAGCTGTTTTATTATATATTATATCTACATATTCAACCATAGTGTACTAGTAATTGATATAGCCCCAGCAACGTTAATATAAGTTTTTTCACTCTTGATTATATGTGTGCATGTGATACAGGTATTAAATATAAAATGTAGAAAAATATCTGCAGGTATATGATAAAAACTTACATCATGTAAAAATATCTATTTCATGTATATAATGTAATTTTTAAGATGAAACAAAATTTTTTTATCTTTGTTAAAGGAACTGCACTGAGGTCTAAAAGCCTAAAACAATGAAATTTGAAATTCTTTTATAAATCAAATTGGTGCCTTAAATGACAAACTATGCAATAGATTATATGTAAATATACTCAGTACAAAATTTTAAAATTGGTTTTAATGCATTTTTGTGCAGAATTGAGTGATAAGTGTCGCAACGCTTTTCATTTTTGTGTCAATTTGCGTAAAAAAATTATTATCCCTGGGAAGCGGTTTGGGCAAATAGTCTGAAATTTTGCACAGGAGTAATTGATTCAGACCTTCATACAGTAGTACAAAAGTTTCGAAAAAAAATATGTTCCGTCCTATCATGTTAAAAAAAATTAGTGGAGTCCCTTTAAAATTAAACTCACCAGCAATGGTCATAATGGTTAGAACATGTTCTACATTGAGTACATCTTCATCTATCACAGTTAACACAACCAATACAGCTAACACGGAACCAGCAAAAAATGCCACATTTCTACAATAAATATTTCAACACATGACAGGAAATTTTCACAAAACCAGGTTTATACACCCCAAAAAATGATTTAATGACCAAATATATATTAATGTCCTTGGAAACTAACGATAATAATTCTGTTAAAGTTTAATTGAAATTTAACAAGAACAAGAGTGAGATTTGTTTATGGCTTTATCATTAATGCAAATAAATAAAATTTAATTAGCCATATCTGACCCAAGTGGCATATTATCATAATATTCAAAACTGATGAAATAATTAAGAATTTCTTTCCTATTATATTCATTTTTTACTTAAAACAATGAAGGAGCATGTACACACACATGTACTTACTTAGCAATTATCGACATCAATGGTGAACTAAATATACTCAGATACATGTCAGCCGCTTTATAGCCCCGGTTTAACCTGAAAAAAAAAACCCTACATTAAAGACCAAAATGTTAACAAATTTCCAATTAATGAAATCATAATGTAAATGTAAATAAAATCTCTAATTAATCAAAACTTAATACAAATGAAATCTCTAATAAATAAAATCATAACATAGATAAAATCTTTAATTAATCAAAACATTATGCAATAAAATCTCTAATTAATCAAAACTTAATACAAATGAAATCTCCAATAAATCAAATCATAAGATAGATAAAATCTCTAATTGATCAAAACTTAATACAAATGAAACCTCCCTTTAATCAAAACTTAATATAATGAAATCTCCAATAAATCAAATCATAACATAGATAAAATCTTTAATAAATCAAAACATTACTCAAATAAAATCTCTAATTAATCAAGATCGTAATGCTAACAAAATCTTACAAAAAAAAATATTTAACATCTCTTGCACATTAGGAAACTGCTGATTTTACTGATTTTAATATTATAGCTGGACATTCACTCTAAACTAATGACTTTATGAGCTTTTATCCTTGACAGATAACAATAAAATACCTTTCCTATTGACTGAATGTAAATTTTTAAATTTGTAAATCTTACCTTGCATTGAATTCATGGTCAAGTTCATTAAAATGTCTCAAATATTGTCTACCGTAGTTTGACCTGAAAATATGGGAAACATTTATCATATAGAAATTTTACAAAATCCATTTCTGTATCAGAAGTAATGACAAAGAAAACACAAAAAATACCAATTGACTTAAATAACTTATGTTTTAACAATCAGTATTGATATAAACTATATTATTCTAATGAAACTGAAACATCACAAATAAATCTTGTAAAAATGGAACAGGACAAATGGCTAAATAACACTAATCCATTTTGTTCAAATAAACAAGCATAAAGTTACAAGCTATGAGTAAAGTGTAAGCATATACAAGTGAACTTCTATAACACTTCAACAACAGATCAAAATTCTGTATTTTACTAAAATCTTCTTAATCAATTCATCTCTATTTTGTAATTATAAATGGGGTACCGTCTTTAAATTACTTGCTCTCAACTGCTATGGACTTTTAAAATCTGTTAAAAAAACTAGGGCCTCTTTCATATGAATCATGTGAGTATATCCATTATCCAGCTAACTAATGGAAAGTTGGTACCTGGTGTTTCCTGTATGTTGTAATTAAGGATGTAACAACCAGGGTTTTTTCAGGATTTTGGGAACATGACCCATACCCATGGAATTGGGAATTTCCGAAATGCTTGTTAAAATTAAGGAAAAATGCATGACTTTAATTTTTCAGTGATTAAATGAATGAAAAGGATCACTGTCTAGGATGGCATTTTCAAACATTTAAACACCACCACAGTGAAGAAGCCCTTATGTTCAAAGATTTTATAATGCATTCATTTCTTATTAAAAAAATTTGGCTGACTTTATCAAAAATAAATGTTTAATTGCCTACCTTTATTTACATGAAATGTAAATTCGCATGTAATGTAAATTCGGTAATATCTTTACAAATAATGCTTTCTGGAACATACAACAATGATAAATCTTTATTTGACCATTATATTTATGATATAAAACCATAAAAATGGAGTTACAGGATCTTTAACTGTGTGATATAAAGCATGTGAGAGGTCTGTACATTATTTGGATTATTACAGAGTTAGAAACCTGACAACATACCATCTTCTAGAACCCAAAAATGCTGGCTGCCTCTTTACCAACTGAAATAAACAAGATAATGAATGTTTAAAATGTTTTAACCATTATTACAGTAAGTCAACAAGTACAGGATCATCAAGGTAATAGTTTAGACCAATTGGGTTGCTTTTACAGGAAGTTTGGTAAAACTATCCGCTCATGGTCACAAAAAATGTGAGTTTTCCTTTATCTGAAAATTTTAAGTGATTAAAACAGCTATTTCAGGTAAAAAGACTAATTTTAGACTTTTTGTATCAGGACATTTTTTTCTGTAAAATAATTGTAGCAACACAGACGTAAAATAAATGTTATAACAATATCAGAAAAAAACCTTTAAAAAAAACAACATTTTTTTGTTGGTTAGAGAAGTTTTCGGGGAATATGAAAAAATGCAGAATTAATTTTTGTACAAACTAACCTCAGCATATCTGAAGAAAGAATAAAGTATCTGCCAGAGAAATATCAATGGAGATAATGCTAGATTGGCAATTCCTAACCATAGAATACGCTGAGACAACCTGAAATATAATATATATATATATGTTGTAAAAACTCCTTTACTGTTAATCATATACAGCTGTTAATGAGGGGTCTTTATCTAAGTTGAAACTTCTAATTTTAACTTGATTGCTAAACAAGCTCTTGCAACTTACATTAATCACTTTTGAATCTGCTTCCTTGAAATAACTAGTACAGGTGTAATATTAAGAAATATGAGCCGTGTCACAACAAAACCAACATAGTGCAATTTGCAACCAGCATGGATCCAGACCAGCCTGCCCAACTGCGCAGTCTGATCAGGATACATGCTGTTCACTATCAGTTTCTTCACTTGTAATATGGTAAGTAAGCGAACAGCATGGATCCTGATCAGACTGAGCGGATGCACAGGCTGGTCTGGATCCATGCTGGTCGCAAACCCATTATGTTGGTTTTGTTGTGATGCGGCTCATATTATGTTTGTGAGACTGGTCCAGATTAATCCCTACAAGACAGACACCTTAACCACTATTCTATCAGTAAAACCCCAATATTGCCTTCTCAAAATAATAAAAAAGTCCTGCATTTTAAGTTACATTTTTTTACCAAGTTTTGGCTTTTCACTGAAAAATGAAAAAAAAAATCTTAGAAATTAAAAAATTTTACTTACGTTTCAGCAAGTTGTTTTCTCTTTGCAAAGCTTTTATCTTTATATTCCTCTTTTAAATGCCATTTGTTTTCAAATGCTGACCAAGGACCCCCTATAATACCATTGATACACTGCATGAAGTTATGTTAAACCTCTCTATATAAAGTTTAGTGTAAGGTTAGTGTATGTCTTTGAGTGCTAATGGCAATAGTTTTCGTCTAGTCAAGCAAAATTTCATGCATTTTTGACTTCTTGGTAAAACCTTGAGCTTTGAACTACAATTCTGGACGTTCAATATAAGCACTGATGACTGACTGTCATATGTGCGAACTTATTAGAGGATCTTTCAATCTATGGCAATGCTACAGCATATACCAAAATGCCAATATACTCATTTATCTGCAAGCTTGCTCAACAAAAAAAACTTCATTGAATGTGCAAGATATAAGTGTTACTATAATTATAAATAAAACATTTTAATAATAGTATCATCTCATATACATTAACTTTACATAATATACTTACAAAAGAGGAGAAATTCAATATTATACTTGAGCCCAGTACTTAAAAAGACACTGAAAACAGAATAAAACAACATAAAAATTAATATGTACAGATATCAAGGTACAAAAAATTAATTTCATTGATAACATCTTAATTCATATTTAGCAGGCATAAAACTGTTTATATATACATGTATACAAATGGACTAACCCTCACCACTGTCATATATAACAATATTTCAAAACTTCATTGAAAAAATGTGAGGAATAGGTAAGGAGGGTAAGTAAATTAAAGTACACATGTAGATTTTTGTGGCCCATATTAAAATATTAAGTTTCAGTTGTAGTCATGATTAAACCATATATCATGTCAACTTTTATTATGCTGTTGAATCTATTTGGTGAGAAATACATTTCTTAAGATCAAAACATTAATTTAAAAAATCAACATCAGTTGAATGTATGTTATTAAACTTTGGAAGTTTTATGGTTGCCTAAGTAACAAAAATAGATTGACAGTTAGTTTGACACTTTGTATTTCTCTCCTCTTTTATTTAGTCTGACTAGAGTACAGTGTTCAAGTTCAGATTTTTAAATCTAATGACCCACAAACTTCTATTCGAGACCCTCAGCTCCTTGTCCTAATAGTAACTGAGTAATAGTGGTTATTATAACAAATGTACAGTGACTAGTTATCTAAGGATTGCTGACCGCACAGGTTCAAACCCTGTCAGGGCCAAGCTGTTGTTTCCTTGAGCAAGAAACTTTACATTCATTGCTTAGTACTGGTTGGTTCCAGGAACTGTTTCGAGAGTGTTTCGATAAGCTTATAGCTTCCAACACAATTGAACTTAAATAAATTTGTATAAACTAAACTACAAGTTATTTTTTAGTCAACAACAAAACTTACTATTCTCCAACAAAAGGCACATGTACTTTAAGTGGTAGCACAGATTTGTTCACCATGGCTAATGTATAATTCTTAAATCTTAATATACGATGATATATATCTGAAAATATAACAAAAAATCAAATAGATAACTGTATCACATATCTGTGCCGCTTTTGCAACTGAACTCCATAACAAGAGGGCCATGATGGCCCTGAGGTCGCTCACCTGTATATAGGCCCCCCCCCCCACCCCCAGGCCAATTTTTACCCAAGGGCTTTTATTTGTTTATTTGAACAGACTTGGTAGACACCCATAAGAAGATGTTTCATGCTAAACATCTAAGTTCTAGCTCATTGGGTTTTTTTAAAAGAAGATTTTTAAAGTTTTTACTATACACATATAGTTAAAAACAATGACACCCCTGAGGCAGGGCCAGTTTTGACCCCCCAGGCTTTTATTTGAACAAACTTTGTAGATATTTACTTAAAGATGTTACATGCTTAATATCTAAACTCTAGCTATTTGGGTTTTTTCAAAGAAGATTTTTAAGTTTTTGCTATACACATATAAGGGAAATTAATGACCCCCCCCCCCCCGGGCGGGCCAGTTTTGACCCCAGGGCTTTTATTTGAACATACTTGGTAGACACCCATTAGAACATGTTCCATGCTAAATATCTTAGCTCTAGCTCTTTGAGTTCTTTAAAAGAAGATTTTTTAAGTTTTTGGGGCTGGGCCAATTTTGACCCCAGGGCTTTTATTTGAACAAACTTCGTAGACACTCATTAGAAGATGTTTCATGCTAAATATCTTAGCTCTAGCTCTTTGGGTTCTTTAAAAGAAGATTTTTTAAGTTTTTACCATATGCATATAGAGAAAATCTATGACCCCCTGGGGCGGGGTCAATTTTGACCCCAGGGCTTTTATTTGAACAAACTTGGTAGACATTCACTAGAAGACGTTTTATGCCAAATATCTAAGCTCTAGCTCTTATGGTTCTTTAAAAAAAGATTTTTTAAGTTTTACTTTATGCATATGGGAAAATCAATGACCCCCTGGGGTGGGGCCAATTTTGACCCCAGGGCTTTTATTTGAACAAACTTGGTAGACATTCACTAGAAGATGATTCATGCCAAATATCTAAGCTCTAGCTCTTACGGTTCTTTAAAAGAAGATTTTTTAAGTTTTTACTATATGCATATAGGGAAAATCAATGACCCACCCCCTGGGGCGGGGCCAATTTTGACCCCAGGGCTTTTATTTGAACAAACTTGGTAGACACTCACTAGAAGATGTTTCATGCCAAATATCTTAGCTCTATCTCTTTGGGTTCTTTAAAAGAAGATTTTTTAAGTTTTTACTATATGCATATAGGGAAAATCAATGACCCCCTGGGGCGGGGCCAATTTTGACCCCAGGGCTTTTATTTGAACAAACTTGGTAGACACTCACTAGAAGATGTTTCATGCCAAATATCTAAGCTCTAGCTCTTAGGGTTGTTTAAAAGAAGATTTTTAAAGATTTTTCTTTCGGTTGCCATGGCAACCAGAGTTCTGCATGGAATTAAATTCTTTGAACAATTTTTAAAGGTGACCACCAAAGGAACATTCCTGTGAAGTTTGGATGAAATTGGCTCAGTGGTTTATGAGGAGATGTCATTTAAAGCAAAAGTTTACGGACGGACGATGGCCGGACGCCGGACGGACGGACGCCGGACGAAAAGTGATCACAAAAGCTCACCCTGTCACTTTGTGACAGGTGAGCTAAAAACAGTATTGCACTGCTGTGCATATATTCTGATGTGATGTCATTTGTGTTATACAAACATTGTGTAAAGACATCTACTCAATGGTAGCGTTACTGTTCACTATAGAAGCATCAAAGAAAAAAATTATTCCATTTTAGTTTAACCAGTGTTTATTTTGAGCATGTGATAACTAGAATATTATATTTGTGTAGATTCATTACTGACTTTATTGAACTTGTTGAATAGAATAATATTATACTCGCAAGTAACAGTAAAGATTCTGACACACGACTCTATAGTGGTTCATACAAGCTTCATCATAAACTAAACAATGATTAACAAAATATTAATTTCTTTCCAAAGCAGGAAGCTATCAAAGAAACACAAGTAATATTTCAGGTTCCATCTGGGATCCAAGCTCCATTTTGTCATAATGCATTGAGAAAGGATCACTTCAAAAGATGCAGCCCAACTAATAAAGCTGAAAACATGACATACAGTATAACCTTAACTGCATCAATGAGAGTTAAATGTCAAAACATAAACAATAAAATTTTACATACTAACCTAACTGTGTAAGGTCAGATTTATGTATACACATTTGCTGATCTTTCTGAACTTCTAATATTCTTGTTTGCACTTCATGCCATGTCAGGTTAGGTAAGTCAGTCTGCAAACATAAACAACAAATTTTCTGAAATTCATGTTAACTTTAACAATGCAATTTTGTATTTTTTTTCTTTTTGTATTGGGCCTTCTTTGCTGAGTGATTTATGTTGCTGATTTTGAATTGCTTGCTCCTCACACAAGATACTTTCCATTGTTACATGTATCGAAGTGTAAAATAATGCACGAAGATGTTTCTGAGGTGTTCCTCCATCAGTAAAACTAGAAATTTACCATTTACCTTGACAGTGTCTGCAGATGCTAGAGAATATGTATATGTTTTTATTGCAGTTTAAGAGTTTTAGAAGTATGGTTAAATTTGTTGTGTCATAGTTTAGCACGATTATTTAATGCTCACTGAACTTGAAGTGTAATAATTGACAGGCGGATAGATACGCCACTCGAGGACTTCGCATTGTACTGTACAGGTTGTATTGCCCACCCCACCATCCCTTTAACTGTTGTCAGTCTTAGACAATATGTTCTGACTTAAATTAGCCATTATATTATTTAGTTACATCAAGATAAGCCAAATGTTTGAATATAACTGTAGCCAGTGAATTAAGCTTGTTTTTTAATTTTACTTGTAGTAAAACTTTTGGTTGTTGTTATTCGTAGATATCAACATGTTAATAAACAAGATAATAGTTTATGTTACAGACTGTGTCAGCTAGTTCAGAGGTTCATCATAAAGTGTTATATTTTGCATTGATGAATATTAAATGATATTGAATCTATGGGAAAGCTTCATCCTATTTCAGTGTTGTTGTTTATTCTGGCCCAGACTAAACGTCTTATAACTTTTATTAGGTGATAAATTATTTATTTTCGTTTAAGCGATACATATTAGTAAAATAAGATCAGTTAAGTGGTTCATAAAAAGCCTGACCAAATTTTATTTTAGCAAACTTAATAGAGCACCATCTAAAGATGCTTCAGACTAGGTTCTATTATTATACATCAATTGTTTCAAAAGAAAATATTCAAGATATATGTTTTAATTCTAATGGGTTCATATGGATATTTATTTAAGTAAACTTGATAATAATCATCAAAGGATGTAATACTGACCAAGTTTGATGATGAACTGTCAATTAGTTCATCAATAGAAAAAATGTATTTTTCTATTTTTAGCTCTGGTGGCATTAAAAGGTGCCCAATTGAGCAAACAAACTGAAGTTTGATTGACAAAAGGATCATACACTACAAATTTGAAGTAATTCTAATTGTTCAGAGCAGAAGACCACTGTTGGAGCATATCCCTCTGTAAATAATGTCTCACTAAAACCTCACCCCTGGTGAGCTTAAGAATGTTAGTTTTATAACAAAACAAGAGCTGTTGGTAGGACAGTGTGCTTGACTATTCTCAGTGCTTGAAAACCAATAAGTAACAAGTAATGATTAATGTATCGTGGTCTGCATCATGAAACCAACTGTTGACTTAACATCTAAAGATTCACTGTAATTCTGATCTAATATATTGCAACTTAAAACCAGATGACTTACGGCAGTTATTTTTAAAGCTGTATGGTAGAAGGAACGGATCTCATAATACAAGAACACATTATAGATGACCTTCAATACACGGAACAACCAAAATGCTGCTGCTACTATCAGGCAGAATATAATAGTTGATGTAAATCTGAAAATATATACCAGGATTATATAACTTTATCTATTTTATTCAAACCAATAAAATTCAAGGTTTAATCCATGAAATACCATTATTTATTTAAAAAATCATTTATGTAGCCATATATATATGTTATTTTATTTGTAGTTTTATGTTAAAAACATTATGGCTTTTGGTTGTCTGAAGATACTTAATATAAGAATACTCCAGAACACTTTCTTCCATCAAGCATTTGCTAATAAACTGATAATGGACCTTTCCGGTGTTTACAGTTTTATGTAAATTGGCTAACTTGTTATCCAATTGCTACACTGAGATAATACATAGTCACTGGTTGACCTTGTTTGCACAAAAGAACACATGCTTATGTTTGTGATACTGTTTGTGAGCAGTTGACCTAACAATGAATGGAAAAGTTGTGGCTAAATGTTCCGCTGCGAAAACCGGAAAGGTCCATAAACATAGCAAAGGAAATAAAACACTTACGATTGTAAGCACTCGTCATGTGTCTTTATGGTATCATCTAGTGTAACTTTATGATGGCTGGTTCTATTACGATATACATTGTCAAACAGTTCATCATACTTTACACATACTATTAGAAATGTAGAAAACACGACCACAAACACAAATTGTCTGAAATATACAACAAACACAAATTCTCAGAAACATACAAGACTTTCACTAATGTTTGTTTGTTTGGATTTTATGTCACACCGACACAGTATAGGTCATTTGGCGATGTTCCAGCTTTACTGGTGGAGGAAGACCTCAGGTGCCCTTCTTTGCTTTATTTCAGGCACGAACGGGCACATAAGTAGAACCACCGATGTTTTGTAAGCTAAGGTATTGTCAACATAAGAAATCAAAAATCTACAGAAGTAGAAAACTATAACATAATGTCACAATTTGTGGGTATTAACAAGTTGCTGTGCTAAATAATTTTGCTGGCAAAAATGCTACAAATTGTTCTGACAATGTAAGGAGAGCATTGGGTTATTCTGTTTTAACTATAAATTTGGGCATTAAAAATACTCAATTGGCAACCTATCATAATGTTATCATATGTAATAAAAAATCTATTATCTTACAATAATTGTAGAAAATCTTCCAGCACCATGCACATAAACCCCTGTCTCTGATGATACTGGTAAACTCTGGTAAAAAACTCATCTAGGTTCTCAATATGATTCCAACGAGCTGAAATACATGCTTTGTCTTATCATTAAACATTATACACCTAGTTTCCAAAATTGTAATTTTTTCAATCAGACAACTGATAATAATTTTTTTACATATTGGACTTGTGTTGATGGTACTGGTAAAAGGTTAGAATTTTCTGTTGAAGTATTTTTCAACCATATTACACTTGTTATTGCAAAAGAATACATGTTTAACCATAGGCAGCTTGAGGTTATAATCCAAAAGCCCTTCATAATATATTTATAATTTATGTACCTTTGTTCCCTTCAGGAACGACATGAATCATTAAATGGTCTTCAGTAGGGTTGTCAGTTTCCTCCCCAGTGTCATCATCATCATAAACAGACAACTGCTGGTACTGTGTCTCAAACTCAGCCATCTCTATAACTGTTTAATATTCACATGTGTGTGCGAATCACATTGTAATTATTTTTAAAGTTCCTGAAATTCATAGCAATAACATTTTAAATTTTTTATCATAGATATAGATAATAAACACTTAGTATGTCTCATTTTAAGGGAGATGAAAAAGCACTGCTGAGTAGACAAATTTTCGGATGTTGAAGGAAGTCAGGAGCATCGCTTCCATCCTTATTAATTTTTACTCCATGATACGGGAAACCCCGAGGAAACGAGAAATGGGGATAACTGAAACTTAAGCTGTTAAGCCGTTGGTTACAAATCAATTTACCATATAACTTTTGAAAGACACCAAACTTACGGGTTTGCCTAAAATACGAAAGTGAGATTTTTGACGAAAGTGAGCGAAAGTGACTTTTAAAATATTAATTGTAACGTTTTAATAGACTTTTACAATAAAATTGCAGTTTGTAGGCGTATATTATTAGAAATTACTGATATTTTTTAAAAAAAAAATAATCATAATGATGATTTATTCGGTTTTTATCTGCATAATTCATATACACCAATTCTTATATCTTCCTTTCGCTTACATTGAAAAATACGAAAGTGACTTATAAAATATAAAATATATGATAATATTTACTTTCAAAGATAATCATTATGATGATTATATCGCCATTTATTTTGCATTATCTCTATACACAAGTTATATACAGAGATCTTCCTTTCGCTCGCATTGAAAAATACGAAAGTGGCTTACAAAATATCAAATATACTGTTTAAATTGAATGTATTACTAAAATTGCAATTAATTTGTAGACGTACATAATCAGAAGTCAATTACATTTATTTTTAAAAATAATCATGATGATGATTTAACCGCCATTTATTTGCATTACACAAGTTAAAAGATCTTCCTTTCCCTCACATTGAAAAATACGAAAGTGACTTCAAAAATGTCAAATATAGCGCTGAAAGACGCATGTTTTCAGAAATGATTAAAATATATTAAAAAAATAATTATGATGATTTAATATCCATGTATTTTCATAATTGCTGTATACCTGTTCTGATATCTTACTTTTGCCCACATTGAACAAAACGAAAGTTACTTAATCTGACGAAAGTGAATGTCAATATTCACGATATTAATGTTTTTTATAATAAAAAAATAAATGAGTCATTTTCATTATTATTCATGTTTTCATGGTGATTGACCTATAACTGATGATGAAAATGACAAAATATAAAAAAAAAATCCTAACTTATAAAAAGATTGAACTTTACCGATATATATAGTACGATATTTATAGAAAATTCCGTGGATTACTTATTTCCTTTTTTCATAGTGAAATATTATTTTAACAATGATGGGAAATTCCAAATTATTTTTTTCAAATTAACATGTACATTGCTCATCTACACCTGGATGAGCATAATAACTGCCACTTTAATCCGTGCAAGATATCTATGGTGGTGCAGAAGAAAGGTTAATTCAATTGTCCACTCAATAAACAACCGGGCAAGTGTCATCAGTTACATACCTATGATTGGATTATAATAATACTTTACACCCATTCTCAATAAAATAAAGCATTTGAGGTTGAAAAATATTAAAAATTTGATGTTGCCATTGTGTCATTTTCTATCGCTGAAGTAAATATTTAGGGTATTTTGCAAGTTTGCCAGAAATATTTTGAACAAGAAACTATGATATAACAGGATGGCATTTATTTCGGTAATGACACTGTATTTCTTCGGTAACGTATATTTCAGATCTAATAATGTAACATATTGGCTACATATTAATAACAAATGTCTGTAAAATATATCAAAATCTGTAAATTCTCTATCTAGAGGGACTTTCTAACCCAGGAAAATTCAAAGAAGTTGGGAACCTTGCTAATTTTCAGTCAATTTCTTCAAAGTTAATTATTCGTAGAAAGCAAAAATAGTCAATTTTGAAAATGATTATTTTATGTCTTCATTCAAAAGATATATATCATATATAATATATGAGAGGTCGAATGCATATACAATTTTTGTATTAGCAATTTTTTTCTCAAAATATTCAACTTTCCACTTTCTTAATATTTGGAAAATTTAGTACTAAACAGTTCGATATTTATTCCCATATAGGATGTCACGTATGTTTCATTTTATTCAAATGCAAGTAAAGGTTGAGAAAACAATTTTATTTTTTGTAAAATAACTTATATTTATGGATATTATTTTAACATTATTATATATAGAATGAAATACGGCCAGTAAGCTCTTTGCAGAAACGAATTAGTTGTTGCTGAGAACATCAATATCTTGTAATATATTTTTAACATTTCTGCTGGTACATCAACATATTATTAACATATCTTTCCTTTGTAAAAACAATTTTGTGTCTTCTTACATCTAATAAGAGGTAACCGTTACTAACAGGCATGCTTATCCCAACTTTATCTTTAATTTTCAAAAATTGTTGAATTGTAAGTTGGAGTAACGTATGTTTCACACTCGCTTATTTATGAACTTTATCACGGAATTTAAACTTACACGTGAAATCGATTTTTTTTATTTAGAAATCAAATGCACATCATTCTATTGTCATAAAAATGCGATTTTATGTTTTTATATATGCATGTGTAAACAATATAAAGTCTGTTTGATAAAAGTAACGTTTGTTTCACTGTGGTTACTTAAACAAGTAAAAACACGACCAAAGTTAACAAAATTTACTTACTAATGTCAAATAGAAGTTAATGTTGATGTTATACGTGCTTTCTGACTTCAATTTCCCTTTTGATAAACTTACTTTAAAAAGTTGATAACGTATGTTTCTGTAACGTATGTTTCATTTTTACATTGAAAGTGGGTTAAAAATGACGCAAGACCGTTTAAGCCGCCATAATTTGTGGTTAATACATCAGAGTTACACACATGTAAATATTCTTTCTTGTTTGGATTCTTCTTTGAATGGATTGGCTCTTAAATAATGGTAACGTATGTTTCTTTTTAAAGTGCTGTTGAAAAGATTTGAATAAAAAATGAAAATTTCTGAAAATAGAATGATATTTGAAAGGCTGCAAGCTTATTTGTACTTATAATTATATATATGCTGTATTATTAAGCATGCATCGATTCAATTATGTAATTTGGGTTTCACTTCTTATTGTTTTAGGTTTGTCACTATTTATTTATATGCATTTGGCGACATTTGATCATTCATTATACCAATGAGATTTTAACAGTCAAATATATTTTTTACCAATATCCAAAGTGCATATACACACAGCAATGACTAATTGCACATGTTTCGTTTATTCTGAAACTTATTTTTCTGAAACACAATTTCAAAGTTGAAAATTCTAGGTGGCGACAGTAACGTATGTTACATTTTAGGGTATTAATGGTACTTATAAAAGAAAAATAACAGATAGAAATGTAAAACTGAGAGTGTCCCTATTAGACAAAGTGGAAGCCACCTTTCTAACGACATTTTGACCTCAAGAAAAACCTTCGTATAAGAGCTTCCCAGTGGAACATCAAATGCTGTGTTTTATTGAGAATGAGCGTTTAGTGGGATTAAAGCGTCATGCGGTCATTGTCGTGTGTACTATCAATTAAAGTGGATGCGAAAATGATATGACAACACGTGTTTGCATGTAAACATATTCATACTTTATTTTGTCTCATTAGTATACATGCATTTTTAAACATATATACAACTATTCACATAAAACCTACATAAGACCATTCCATTTAAGAATTTCAAGAGACATTATAATAATGAGAAACACATTCAAGACCTATTACTGTTAGATTAGAATCAAACAGTATAATTACAATATAATATATAAACAGAATACTAAATGTTAGGTACACCATCGTTAATCAAAAATTAAAAACTGCCCGAAAAAGACGATGTAAGAAATAGAGAACTGTAAATCGGGGCCCTAACGCATAAATTGTATAATTCATGTTTTGCCAATTATAGTTTACATAATAAATTTCATTTTTCATCTTAACATATTAAGTTTTATAAAAATGATAGTTACTATAGCTTATAACATACGTCTACAAACTGCAATATTATCATGAAATTCTATTTCAACGTTATATTTGATATTCTGTAAATCACTTTCGTCAGGCTCACAGTAAGCGAAAGGAAGTTCAATGTCTGAGCTTGTGTATAGATATTATGCTAATAAATGAAGATCAAATCATATTGATTAAAGATACTAGTTTTGATAATATACGTCTACAAACTGCATTATTAATATTAAATGCAATTTAAACGCTATATTTGATATTTTTAAAATCACTTTCGCTTCCTCTCCCTAACATTGAAAATACGAAAGTGGGCGAAAGTAAGATCTCTGAAATTGCTATATAGAAATAATGAAAATGCATGAATATTAAAACCTCATAATGATTTTTAAGTATTTTTTATTCATTTCTGGAACTATGCGTCTACAAACTGTTATATTAATATAAATTCAAAATAAACGGTATTTTGAATGTTTTATAAGTCACTTTCGTATTTTTCAATGTGAGCGAAAGGAAGATCTATGTAGTTGTGTATAGAAATTATGCAAATAAAAAGCGATTAAATCATCATATGTAATGATTATTTTTGAAAATGAATATAATCAATTTCTGATAATATACGTCTACTTAGAGCAATTTTAGTAAAAAATCAACTTAACCAGTATATTTAATATTTTATATGTCACTTTAGTATTTTCTATGTGATCGAAAGAAAGATTTCTGAACTTGTGTATAGAAATTATGCAAATAAATGGCGATTAAATCATCATAATGATAATTTTTAAAAATAGATATTATCAAATTCCAAAACTATACGTCTACAATCTGTTATATTAATATAGATTTAAATTAATCGCTATATTTGATATTTTGAAGTCACTTTCGTATTTTTTCAATCTGAGCGAAGGAAGATATCTGAACTTGTGTATAAAAATAATGCAAATAAATAGCGATTAAATCATCATATTGATTATTTTAAAAAATAGGTATCATCAAGTTCTGATAATATACATCTACAAATTGTAATTTTAGTAAAAATTTCAATTAAAACAGAATATTTAATATTTTATAAGTCACTTTAGTATTTTTCAATGTGAGCGAAAGGAAGATATAAGAACTTGTGTACAGTACAGTATAGAAATTATGCAAATTAGTAGCGATTAAATCATCATTATGATTATTTCTGTTAATATATATAATTATTTTCTAATAATATACGTCTACAAACTGCAAGTTTGTTTTAAAAGACTATTAAAATGTTATAATTACTATTTTAAAAGTCACTTTCGCTCACTTTCGTCAAAAATCTCACTTTCGTATTTTAGGCAGAATCCGGGTCAGCTCGGCCCCCGAGTCAGCTCGGCCCTATTCCAACTCGGCTAGGGTCAACTCGGCCCACTTTTCAATTATTAATATTTAGGTTTGTGTTAACACTATTTATTGTAAATATTTATAATACACGGATTGACAGTTTCGAACTAGCAGCAGACAAGCTTTTCTTATCAGTAGAATTGCGAGTAAAGATAAACGATTGCGTATCTCACTGTATTTCTACATATTTAACTTCTGTTCAGTATACCGCCAAACTTACCATTCACAAGTTATGTGTTTGAAATCTGTTTGATAAATTACAGTTAGAAAAACTTCAATGCTAGAATGTATAAAAATAATCTTTATACAAGTCAGAAGCAAATTATATTTTAAAATCATTCAAGGACAAGGGCAAAAAATTTATACAAATTGTTTGGTTTTTGCAGGAATGCATGTTTGGTTTTTGCAGGAATGCAAAGAATTACACGAGCACTTACGTAATTTCAGATACGAGTATAGGGTAGCTTTGATGAGCTTCTAATGTTTAAAAGCAAAGATATAAGTATTGCTCATAACTATGTCAATGAAACGCAATTTTCATCATCTGTCAAAAAAGAAAACAAAATGGTGATTTCTGGGTAAATTTATCTGGACGGTGCACGTGAAAAATAAAAACTGTGAAAATAACAATAAGGTAACCTCTTCTCAAATTATTTATCGTTTTGCTACAGTTTGAGTTATTCAAAGATGTTTGTTGACTGAGCATATAAGTTAACACTATGATACGCTAATTTCTTTTTAATGTGAATCAATTTGTAAAATCATTATGTTCAGATTTTGGTTTTTCTATTTTTTTGTCAAATGAATATATATTCGGACAACTTATCATTTGGATAGTCATCAAGATTAAACTTATGTTTAATGAAAAATGTTAGGGGGTAAACAGTTGTAAATTTGTCCCAATCTATTTATACTTTTTGTAGTATGGCTATCAAATTGATCAAGTACTAACAGCAGGGCTTTAACTATTAAGAATAGAATAGAATAATGTTTTATTACCAATCTATCTATCTATCTATCTATCTATCTATCTATCTATCTATCTATCTATCTATCTATCTATCTATCTATCTATCTATCTATCTATCTATCTATCACTTGATACTGCCAACCCCTCTTATGAGTGTTAAAGGCAGGAATTTAGTGCACGTCGGATTGTTAGTAAAAGGTGAAAAGAAAAGCTAAAAAAGAAAAGTCCAAACATTGACATGCTTGGATTTTGGAAGGTGAGACTGGAAATGTATTCTAGTCATGGTTAAAATGTTAATAGTGAAACAAGATGATAAGAGATAAAATAGTTTAAAAACACTGGGAGTAAGACTAGTACTGCAAACCCACCACTGCCTGTTTGAACTGACTCAGGTTGGGCAGGGTGGCAATATTACTAGGAAGTTTATTCCGTAGTATAATGCTATGAGGGAAGAAAGAGTACTTATGGTAGTCAGAGGATACCTGAATTACCTGAATCATGGGCCTTCTCAGGCATACAATTACATAAAATATCAGTACATTAAATGTACATAAACAAAACAATAATAAGCTAATTCTGATTTGATAACACAATTAACAAAGGACTAGTAACTATATGTATTCAACAAAGGCATTTTAAATGACAACACATAAAAGAAATAGATCAAGTAATTTATTAAGGAGACAAGTTCCTTCTTGACCACAGGTGTCGTAGGCTTACAATGTTGCCAATGTCAGCAAATTATCGTAAAACTTGTAGAAGGCTGATGTAGTTACGTATAAATGAAATATTACAATGTGCAATTATACTTACAGTCGGTAGTCAGACTATTCCTTTCCTTACCAGTTCCTACCCTAACATTTCCTCCCTGACGGTTCTCTCCCTATTTTGGGGCAGAACCTTTTTCATATTTGCAAATAAGCAGACAGTGTCTCCCCATATTTATTTTTATTAATACATTATAATTGAAGTATTTAAATGTTAAATAAATGGGTAAGTTTATTATTAATTGATATAAATTAGAAAAAAATGGGGTGAATCATTATCCGTTGTACCATTGATAACCTAACAGTTAAAATGAAATGTTAAACTTCTGTTCTTTAAGTAACTTACTGTTTGTCTATGATAATGTGAGAGTGATGTTTCATTTATGTGAGCACAAATTGACTGAAAGGGTAAAACCAATGCCATTAAAATCATATCCAAACTGTCGCTCCACTACTCTTCCCTATGAAGCGAAGAGTAAAGATGATCTGATTTTAATGAGATTGGTTTCCTCCCCTGATAGTTTTCTCAAATTTGATGTAAGCAGACAGTTCTCCCTCATTTTTTTATAAGTTTAGTTTTCATTTTAGTTTTGACTTGATCTAATTATATTTCTTAATGAAGATTATTAAAAGAAGGTGTTCGATATCTAAAGTGCATTTTATAAATAGAAATTTGAAAGACCCTGACTTTATGTTTTATGTTTATCTGAAAAGTGTTTGTAAATTTTACACCTTTTTCAGGTATTCTAATCCTATCTGACAACACCTGTCATCTTCATTGTGAGAGATTAAGTGGACAGTGATTGATATACACCTGTAACTATGTTCAGGTCTAAATGATATTCATTCATTTGTTAAATAGCGAGTAATGAATAAGTAACAACTGGTATGCAATCACATTTTACTATTACTTTTTAAGAACATGTAGTCTGTCATTAACATAAAAATATATAATACCAAATAACTAATTAAAATACTTATTCATCAACACATTTTCACACCTTTAGTATACTAATCTTGAGTAATGAATTAATAAACACATCAATTATCTCCGACAGCAAACTTAACACACATGTGTATTGAACTCCTTTCTTAACCTTTTACCCCATGAGCATATTGTGAAAAATGGCCGTTTTCATTGAAAAGTCTCCTGTTACAAGTTCAAACTGCTATAAAACTATGAAAAATGCTTCAATACTAATGAAACTATTATGCATTGTTTTTTCCATCAAAACTAATTTCAAAGTGCTGCAACTCCTCAATGCAATGAGATAGAGTAAAAGGCTTTTCAGCGTTGGTTTCACGTCACCATAAGATCGACCTGAGGCCATTTTTAGCCTGTAACATGTCCAAATTTTTCTTGGCGATGAGGGGGACTACACTCCCTAATAAAAAAAATCAGAATAATTAATTAAAAGAAGTTTAATTTAAAATATATTATGTTTATTGGCATGATATCCACTCTGGAAGCGAGATTCTGACCCAGAACAAAATTATCTAAGAATCTAGCTTTGGCTCATCAAAATATTTTGACTAGCACTCAGGGATTAAACGATGATCGATTATAATAAAAAAATTGATTGTTTATAGACAAGATCGGCGTTGATCGAAAACAAAGTTTAATAATCAAATTTTTATCGGTAATTTATTTTCTTGCTGTTACTTATATGTCTCACTGTATTATAACAACACTCTAAATTAAAGTTAGCTTTGGTTCAAAAAATAATTATCATTCAAATGAATATGAAAGCATACTGGTGACCAATTGGAGTTAATAGTTTATTTACAGTGAGGCATTCTAGTTTAAAAATATACAATGCTCAAATTTGACATTAGAATATATTTAGCATTGCTACACAGTCTATTTGTAAATATAAAATAAACATGTTTTGACTTCACACAAAGAATTTATGTTATGTATAAAATTATTCTACACACTACAAGGTACAATATCAATATATACATGCACATACATATAGTGTCATTAAGAAACTTTCTGGCAGTTTTTTGTTAACAAAATACTAGCACCTTTTACTGATGATTCTGTTTTTCCCCCCAATTTTGTCACCTAGATGTGAACTATAAGTCATGCCATTTGACTACTTCATTGGTGTCTTTAAGTTGGTTATCATGTCAGTCACTGAGGATTGTGCAAGTCAAAACTAAAACCACTTTTACCTTTAGGACCTTCTGAGTTGATCCAAGTGTCTCTAGAATAGAATGGTCTGGAGTCATGCTATTTGAACTCATATCACTAAGATCAAATGTGCCATAGAAAGACAGACATGGGTGTTATAATTACATGCATAAGATATGGCAAAGTATGAGTTATAAAATTATTAAATGAGCCGCGTCACAACAAAATCAACATAATGGGTTTGCGACAAGCATGGATCTAGACCAGTCTGCGCATCCGGGCAGTCTGATCAGGATCCATGCTGTTCGCCTACAAACTCTTACAAGTAGAGAAACTGATAGCGAACAGCATGGATCCTGATCAGACTGTGCAGATGCACAGGCTGGTCTGGATCCATGCTGGTTGCAAACACGTTATGTTGGTTTTGTCATGATATGGCTCAAATACAATTAAAATAATGTTATTTAAGTGATTAAGCATGGTGTTGAAGAACAAAGAAGAGAATGTTTGTTGCATTACAGGAGGTTACATTTGAATTGAATGCTTAAACCTGCTGTAACTAGGAGTAATTTAATTAGCCTTTCCAACCATTATAGAGCCATTATATCTAAGTTTATTTGCATCTTTAGTCACAAATGATTAAGACAAGTTTCATTTTAGTCTCAAATAAATAGAGTATTATCTTATTTTTTTTGCAGGTGTTTTCAAATTTTGAAAAATGGAGTATGTTTCTAAAAGTGTCAATATGGAAAACTGTAAAACTATGAGTCCTTGTCTATCACAAGATGTTAAAACATACCCGTTTATATGTGGAATCTGCTCAATAAAGTTTGACGATCTTTGTTTATTTCTACGTCATTTTAGAACTCACGGTAAAACTTCTCTACCAAACAATGATATCCATGCATGTAGTTGTCTTTATCAAGATGCATGGAGTGAAGAAGACAGCGGAAATAATGAGACATACAAGTGTCGAAGCTGTATGAAAATATTCTTCTCAATTTGTAAACTACACAGTCATATTGTTAATTGCTCTGCGTCAAATGGTTCATATATACTAGATAACAGTAGGAAGATGGTGTACCCACTTAGTTTGCACTGCTCTGAATATGAAGACAGAGGAAATGATACGTGTGAAAGTACTGATGCTGACAATGTAAAATTGATAGGAAAAAATAATAATCATAAAGCTGTAAAGGTGAATCAAAAGGAAAAGAAAACTTCTCCAAGTGATAACAATGTGAATCATAGTGATATAAATTTACATATGGATGAACTCAGTAATGGTTATAAATCTGATGATAAATTAAGTCATATCCAACATGTGGATCATATTCTCAAGTATGTTTGTAAATTGTTTGAAAAAAGCGAAGCTGAGAAAATTTCACAAGTTGAAAGCATGGATATTGACTTACTTGAGAAGACAAAAATCATTCCAAAGAAACAAGTAAATGCAAATTTTACACCAGAGAATTCCAGAACTGAGAAGGTTCAAACAAGAAACAAGAAAAAAAATTTCAAGAAGGCTAATTGTAACAAAGAGGCAGAAAATAAAGTCCAGCAACATGAAGTGAATAGTGATCATGTTGTTAAAACTGAAGTTGAAAAAGATAACTTACATGAGGAAAATAGTGATATACATAATTTTGGGAAATCTAACGCTGTATCTGTAGAATCAAGTAAAAGTAACACTGATTTCCTTCCTGAAAATGATAATTGTAATAATGATGCTGATAATGATAATGTTGATATTAAAAATGATGATGATGATGATGATGATTCAACAGATGAATATACTACTGAAGATTTAAATGTTATAGCTAATTTACAAAAGGGAAAGGTAAGAAGAGTGACAAAAAAGTCTCGAAAACATACAAAAATCAGGAAACAGGAAGATCATAAAGCTGAAGAAGAATGCTCTTACTGTGGAAAGATTCTCAAACCGCACAGGATGAAAAAACATGTGATAAGTCATACGGAGGACCGACCGTTCCTGTGCGATCTGTGTCCAAAATCATACAAATACGAGAATCATCTAAAGACACACAAGGCATCACATCAAGATGTTAAACCCTACTATTGTGAGATATGTGGTAAAGGATATGAGACCATTACAAGGTTAGTAGTTGATGACTTTGTTCTTCAAGTTAAAATTGTTTTATAACTTGTTCTTTTTGGAAGACTTCACAAACAATTTTATGTTGCAGTCATGGTCATATACTATCGTGTATATGGTAAATCAGGTTTCATGTCTGGCAAATTTTGGCATTATTATAATTTTTGCAAATCTTATATTAGTCAATTATTGAAATGTTTTGTTAGCGTTTAAGAATGTACCATACATATTGTCTATATTGGTGAGTGATTATTCAGGCCTCGACACTAACTTTTTTAACAGGTGGTAAGCCGGACCACTAGATTTGAAATTAAGGTGGTCCTTCCAGAAGTCAAGTGGTCAATTATTATATCACTTTACTGTAAGTTTAGAAAAAAGTATGCTTAAAATTGATGACAAAGATGTATTATTAACCTTTAAAGAAAACAGACATTTTAGATATATATTTTTATCTGAGAACAAGTTAGTAGGTATTCTGTCGTGAAGTTATTTGTTGTTTTTTTCATAGCTCATTCAAAAATACACAACAGGGCTCTTATTTGTGTTAACTTATATATTGAAGTGATTTCTGTCTCAACTCAAGTTAGGGAATAGTGAAACCATTTGTGTCTGGGTTTTTTTTTCTTACTGTTATTCAAATATACGTTAGCTTATTATTCTCACAGATTTATTATGAATACAGAATTTTTACCGCCCCTTTGCTTGTTGGTTGATATTTATTTTTTACATTGAGTATTTTTAACCTTTTATTAAAATTTTTAAACAAAAGTAATTTTAACTCTGGAAGAAATGGATCTCTTAGCGTTAAAAAGTTAAAATAAAGATAACTAGCAAATAACTTGATGCACTTCTCAGTTCCTTTAGTTTGCTGCCATTTTTCATGTATATGAAATTGAAAGTTCATACGGTATCCCATACAATATCATAATTACCATCGTCGGATACCCCACGTGTGATTAACATGTAAAATAACATAAATGTTAAAGGTTCCACTGTGGTAATCCGACGATGCATCATTACTAGCATCATTTGAATGCAATTTGTACCGAGCTTAATATCACAAATTCTTAACTCTTTTAACTTGCATAGACAAAATTTTAGCGACTTAAAATGAAAGTTATTGATGATTTAAGACCTTCTTTAACTTATCAGATTAATCTATTAATGAACCATATACATGCTCTAAGGACAAATGGTTTTAAACAAAATATATATAACATGATTTTGCCCAAATCGCCATTCTCCCAAATGAGCCTTGCACAAACCAGAAAATTCAAGTGGTCCGACGGACCAGTGCATTTCAAAATTAGGTGGTCCTTTCCAAAATCAGGTGGTCTCGGACCAACGGACCACCGCTAATGTCGAGGCCTGTTATTCACATGTGAGTTACTTTTACCATTGCCCTTTGAACATTAAATTACAGTTTATCAGGATGATTCCCAAGTATAATGCAAATGAAGAAACTTTGTAGGTAGATAGATCTCATTGGGTAGATGAGAAGTGCAACATGTGCAAAGAACAGTTACTCTGTCTTGTCTAAGTTTGGAATTATTGCACTTTGAACTTTGTCCAGGACATAACTCTAAAACTACAAGAGGTATACATTTCTGTGTCCAAAACCTGTTCAGGGGAGCATCACACGGTTCAACTGGCTCTTGTTTATTATTTGTTGATGCTATGAGAAACAAACCAATAACAATGACATTATGGTAAGATATTGTCATATACAGGTTATTTATATCATATTTTTCTTGGTATAATTTGACTTTGGCAATTAATGCAATTACATAAATTTATCAAGTAACTCTGAAGTGAGAAAATGGCCAGTTACGGTATAGTTGCAAAACCATATATTATAGCAATTAGCCATAAAGTAGGAAGTAGGAAATGTTTTGCAGGTTATAGAATCATTACAGAATGTTTATTACAGGTTGAGACATCACTCCATGATAAACCATTCAGACTCCAGACCTTGTGTGTGTAACGTATGTGGAGCAAGCTTTATTTCAAACTATAGGTTGAATAGACACATGAGGATGCATACAGGTCATTTATTGTTTATAAGTATACACTATTAAATCTATAACATTCAGGAATGCTTTCTCATACATAACATGTTGTTTCTGAACCCACTCCACAACTTTTACATATCTTGTTGTCTTTTTTCAAAACTCCATCTATACACACTGTTGTTTTGTTTGTAAATACCATCTATACACACTGTTGTTTTGTTTCTAAACTCCATCTATACACCCTGTTGTTTTGTTTTTAAACTCCATCTATACACACTGTTGTTTTGTTTCTAAACTCCATCTATACACCCTGTTGTTTTGTTTCTAAACTCCATCTATACACACTGTTGTTTTGTTTCTAAACTCCATCTATACACCCTGTTGTTTTGTTTCTAAACTCCATCTATACACACTGTTGTTTTGTTTCTAAACTCCATCTATACACACTGTTGTTTTGTTTCTAAACTCCATCTATACACACTGTTGTTTTGTTAATAACTCCATCTAACTTTCTGTTGTTTTGTTTCTAAACTCCATCTATACACACTGTTGTTTTGTTTTTAAACTCTATCTATACACCCTCTTGTTTTGTTTCTAAATTCCATCTATGCACATTGTTGTTTTGTTTCTAAACTCTATCTATACACCCTGTTGTTTTGTTTCTAAACTTCATCTTTACACCCTGTTGTTTTGTTTCTAAACTCCATCTATACACCCTGTTGTTTTGTTTCAAAACTCTATCTATACAGCCTGTTGTTTTGTTTCTAAACTCCATCTATGCACACTGTTGTTTTGTTTCTAAACTCCATCTATACATATTGTTGTTTTGTTTCTAAACTCCATCTATACACACTGTTGTTTTGTTTCTAAACTCCATCTGTACACATTGTTCTTTTGTTTCTAAACTCCATATATACACATTGTTGTTTTGTTTCTAAACTCCATCATACACATTGTTGTTTTGTTTCCATTCCATCTATACTTTCTGTTGTTTTGTTTCTAAACTCCATCTATACACACTGTTGTTTTGTTTCCATTCCATCTATACTTTCTGTTGTTTTGTTTCTAAACTCCATCTATACACACTGTTGTTTTGTTTCCATTCCATCTATACTTTCTGTTGTTTTGTTTCTAAACTCCATCTATACACACTGTTGTTTTGTTTCTAAACTCCATCTATACACATTGTTGTTTTGTTTCTAAATTCCATCTATACACCCTATTGTTTTGTTTCTAAACTCCATCTATACACATTTTTGTTTTGTTTCTAAACTCCATCTATACACATTGTTGTTTTGTTTCTAAATTCCATCTTTACACATTTTTGTCTAGTTTCTAAACTCCATCTATACACATTGTTGTTTTGTTTCTAAATTCCATCTATACACATTGTTGTTTTGTTTCTAAATTCCATCTATACACACTGTTGTTTTGTTTCTAAACTCCATTTATACACACTGTTGTTTTTGTTTCCATTCCATCTATACTTTCTGTTGTTTTGTTTCTAAACTCCATCTATACACACTGTTGTTTTGTTTCCATTCCATCTATACTTTCTGTTGTTTTGTTTCTAAACTCCATCTATACACACTGTTGTTTTGTTTCCATTTCGTCTATACTTTCTGTTGTTTTGTTTCTAAACTCCATCTATACACACTGCTGTCTTGTTTCTATACTCCATCTATACACACTGTTGTTTTGTTTCCATTCCATCTATACTTTCTGTTGTTTTGTTTCTAAACTCCATCTATACACACTGTTGTTTTGTTTCCATTTCGTCTATACTTTCTGTTGTTTTGTTTCTAAACTCCATCTATACACACTGCTGTTTTGTTTCTATACTCCATCTATACACACTGCTGTTTTGTTTCTATACTCAATCTATACACACTGTTGTTTTGTTTCTAAACTCCATCTATACACACTGTTGTTTTGTTTATAAACTCCATCTATACACACTGTTGTTTTGTTTCCATTCCATCTATACACACTGTTGTTTTGTTTCTAAACTCTATCTATACACATTGTTGTTTTGTTTCTAAACTCCATCTATACACATTGTTGTTTTGTTTCTAAACTCCATCTATACACACTGTTGTTTTGTTTCCACTCCATCTATACACATTAATGTTTTGTTTCTAAACTCCATCTATACACACTGTTGTTTTGTTTCTAAACTTCATCTACACACATTGTTGTTTTGTTTCTAAACTCCATCTATACACATTGTTGTTTTGTTTCTAAACTCCATCTACACACATTGTTGTTTTGTTTCTAAACTCCATCTACACACATTGTTGTTTTGTTTCTAAACTCCAACTATACACACTGCTGTTTTGTTTCTAAACTCCATCTATACACACTGTTGTTTTGTTTCTAAACTCCATCTATACACCCTGTTGTTTTGTTTCCATTCCATCTATACACATTGTTGTTTTGTTTCTAAACTCCATCTATACACATTGTTGTTTTGTTTCTTAACTCCATCTATACACACTGTTGTTTTGTTTCCACTCCATCTATACACATTGTTGTTTTGTTTCTAAACTCCATCTATACACATTGTTGTTTTGTTTCCATCTACACACATTGTTGTTTTGTTTCTAAACTCCATCTATACACACTGCTGTTTTGTTTCTAAACTCCATCTATACACACTGTTGTTTTGTTTCTAAACTCCATCTATACACCCTGTTGTTTTGTTTCCATTCCATCTATACACACTCTTGTCTTATTTACACCATCCTTTCAACTTGATGTTTTATTTAATCTTTAACGGGGCTGAATATTTTAAATTGTGAATTGAGAAAAAAAAAACGTTAACAATTTCATGAAAAATTTCAAATTATAAGACTGATTGAATATGTAACAGGGCAGACCATAATCTATACTTCATTCCACTATTTTGTTGTCTTTTTTCTAAACTTGATTCATATATCCTGAAACATTCATATATTTTAGGTGAGAAGTCGGTCCAGTGTGATTTATGTGGTATGGGATTTTCCACACGGTATAATCTTAATATTCATATACAGGGAGTCCACAAAAGAGATCGCCGCTTTACATGTGCAGAATGTGGTAAAACTTTCATGACAAACTATCAGCTTAAAGTGCATAAAATGAAGCATACAGGTAAATATAACTTTCAGAGGTAATTTGTTAGAAACTGAGATATTTTTTTGTATTTATTATACATAGGGGTTGTGTGCATTGTTGCATTAGCTCACAAAGTGCTTTATTTCAAGGTTATGAATAACAAATACTTATAAAATCCACAATATGTTAAGGTCACAAGCTTTCAATGCTGCATTTGAAATAATATTACTTAAGTAAAAATACTTTTAGGCCACCACCATAAAATTGTGTGAGGGGGTGCATATAGTGTTACCCTTGTCTGCGTATGTGCAGTTTGAATTTGTATCTTGTCTAAAACTTCTGCATGTTTTATTAAATTTCAAAATTAACTTTAAGTTAGTTAGTGCATACAAGCAACATTAGTATGTTATCCTTAACTTCTTTAAACAATATCTCCTTCTTATTACATTGTAGATTTTTACTAAACTTTATGCTCCACATGTCAAAATTGGCCCATGTTGGTTTCACTTTGTCATGATTTTTCTCTGGAGAAACTGTAATGTCCAGTCAGCTTAAATATTTAGCATGTAGCCTCACGTTGGGTCCTCTACCAAAGTTAAATAAATCAAGCTCACAGGTTTTAAAGTGACAACAGCTCTGGAGGTCAGTTATGTAGACTTATATAGGAAAATTTAGTCAAATCTACTTCTCTGAAAGTACATTGAAAATGGCTTAGAGCTGAACTTTTGACATGTATCATTGCCTAATGGACTTTTCTAAAGTTACATAAATTTTGATTTTGGGACATTAAAGGCTTGCCCAGGTACATTGACTACTAGAGAAAATTGATTTTTTTAAGTATTCTCAGAAACGACAATTCCTAGAGCCCATGTAGAATCTCTTTATGGTCCTCTAGTATAAATCATATCCACAGTGAGGGATAAAATTGTCTGCCCTTGGGGGACACATAGTTTACATAAACTATGACATCCTTGTTTTGCGGAGCTCTATATCTAAGGTTTTACACCAGGCGTGTGGGTCTCCCTCTTCGCCTGGTACCTTGAGGATTTCCATCTAATGCTTGTCTGGCTATATTGGGCTTTATTGAAGAGTAATAAAACATTCTCTAAATATTTCAGGTGAGCAATCAACGGCCATCATATCCTTCTTGTATAATAAAGAATGTCTTTTTTAATATGTATGAAATTTCAATTAGAGACATGATTATTATTTGATGTATTATTATCATATAACTATTTTATTATTACTATTGCGAAGGTGAAAGACCGTATAAGTGTGCTGTATGTAAGGCGGAATATATTGAACGTAAAGAACTAAGACGACATTTGAAGAAGCAACACAATATGCAATTAGAGGAGAACACGAATGCTTTAACAAGTAAATGACTTCTGTTATTATTTCTACCCATAAAACTGCAAAAGATAAGAGCAATGAAAAATTAGATCTTTATTTATGAAAAAATAAATGCACATGGTAAAAGCATAAAGATAGTTTTAAAAGCTAATATAATTTTCAAATTCAAATGATGTAGAGAATTTACAAGAACAGGATATAATTTTTTTTTAAATATTTATAGCAAAAGCACTTCATCATAACATATTTTCAAAATTAATACATTAACATATAGTCCAGGCACATGGTAGAACAGTCTGTACTTGTGTTGTATTGTATCATGTAAATTTATATTATTATATTTGAAACTATCACATACAGGTTATAATATACAATATTCAATAATATTTTGATCTAAGAGGACTTACATAACATTATGTGCAAGAGATGTTCTTAAAGTCAGAGCACATTTTACATAAAAAGTTAATTTACCAAAACCCATAAATTGAGCATAAACCTTTACTGAACAATAAATGAATTTGTAAAGTGCTCTATGTACAGCTCTATCTTGAAGTATGAACATACTAAATTTTATATTTCATTTGATATAAAGGTTACTCTGGGAAATCTTATTTCATTGTATTCTACAAAGTTTAACTACGTCAATAATAATGATCTATTTGTAACTGTCTGGCACTGATGATCTCCAGGAGAAATATATAGCAAACTTTCTGCTTTTAGCACAAATTGTGTACAACCTACGACAGCTGGGGAATATAATCTTTCTGTTTTTATTTAGCTATTTCAGATGTGATGGAAGGATATAACACTTCTAAAGTTACCTCAACAAGGGATACGGTTTATAGTCAGGGTACCGATCAGACAGAAACGTCAACGGCAGCAAACTATATCATAACTGATACTGAGAACTTGTATACCTACACCAACACTGACATGTGTACCTCGGCACCATATTATCCAGCGATAAAAAAATTAATCCCACCAAACGATTACCAAATGATTTACACCAACACTCAAGAATATAATTATGATAACTCGACAGATGAACTTACGTTACCTTTGACTGTACAAGAAATACAGGATTCTTGTGTTGTGAAAAATTTATCAAAACACAGTGCGGAGGGTCATGTTTAATTGAAAAGCCCCTCAACATGATGTTCATTTCAATAAAGATTTGGTAAATTCAGCTAAGGACGTATCAGTAGTGTCACAGGACAAAGTAGATCAAAATCTTACATCTTGTTTTGTTATTGTTCTTGTTTATGTTAAATTGTTTACTACATTCCATCCATCAACTGCCTGTATAAACTTGGTAAATTTCTTACCTTTTGGTATCAAATATTCATTAAGGAGAAACTCTTTTCTCATATGTAGGTTTTATAACCTTGGACTAAAGAATTTATGTGACCAAAATAAATTTATTAGAAGATAAGCACACAGTTTTAGACATAACCTGTTTGTTACTTTTGATGACACCAATCAGTGTTTATAAGTTGTACAATTATGGGCATTGCAACTTGTTGGGTTACAAGATTTGTTATGTGAAACTTTTATTTGAATCCGGACAGGGACTTTGGATTCTTTCATGTGAGGAAGCTATCCAGCTAGCTTACAGAACGTTGGTGGTTCTACTCAGGTGCCCGTTCGTGCCTGAAATAATGCACGGAAGGGCACATGAGGTCTTCCTCCACCAATAAAGCTGGAACGTCGCCAAATGACCTTTACTGTGTTGGTGTGACGTAAAACCCAAACAAACAAACTTTTATTATTATAACATATAGGCATAGGCAAAGGTGAAGAAATTTGCCGAGGATTGATACAGTATTGCAAGTTATCAGATAGAATCTTTACCAAGGATGGAATGTTATCAAAATATCTGTCGTATCATATCAGCAATTTAACATGACTTACTTATGTTAGTGATTATAGTGACCTCATTTTAGTTTTATAGTCCTCTATATTTTGTTAGTTAACCGTTTTGTATTTGTCAAAAAATGTATTGTTTTCGTTTTTGCTCATATTCTGTATACGAAAATTTGAAAGGAAACTAGTAGCAGGTGTATCAAGTACTTAGTCCAAAGTTTTAGTATTGGTTAATGAGATTGATATTAGTAGGAAAAAGTATTGTTTCATATTTTCTGTCATAAATGTTGCAAGATATGTAAGATGTATAGTACTCGGAAATAATTTGAAAAATTGATTCTTTAACAATTCTTAGTCTGATATTAGTTAAAACCTTTTTCTCTTTTTTATTTTTCTTGGTCATTTTGCATGATAAAAAATATTATATTCTGGAAAAACATAGTGAACAAATTATCTGAAACATGCTATTCTCCCAGGCCTCCATTATATGGTATGCAATTCTCTTTATATTATTTCATGTCCGTTCATGTCAAAAAACCTTCAGGGAGTCCCTTTAACATTTGTGATATACTTACAAATCAGATAAAAGCACTTTACAGCCCTTACTTAAGAATTTGTCACAGATTTTTTTTACATGTTTTAACTTCCTTAATTACTGATATAACAAAAATTCATGACTTATTTTTTGTGATTGCTTCATCTAGTTCATTAATGTCTTTGTCAAGTGATTTACCTTACAATTGTTTGGTAAAGATTTGTGAATTTGATGAAAGAACACAAACACTGTCATTATTTTCAATGCAGTTAGTTAATCATAAGTACTTGTCCCCTTAGTTTTAATAACATATAAGGTATATTGCCTTGCAGATGTTTGTCACTTAGTTAACACATACAATACATTGTCTGATCAAAAACTAGACAACACTTTGACCTACAGAACTCACTTTGACCTACCGTCCTCACTTTGACCTACCGTCCACACTTTGACCTACAGTCCTCATGTTGACCTACAGCCCTCACTTTTAGGGACAGTCCTCACGGTGCCTGTACAGTCCTCAATTTGACCTACAGTCCTTTTTTTGACGTACATTCCTCACTTTGACCTACAGTCCTCATTTTGACGTACAGTCCTCACTTTGACCTACAGTCCTCACTTTGAACTACAGTCCTCACTTTGAACTACAGTCCTCACTTTGACATACAGTCCTCACTTTGACCTACAGTCCTCACTTTGACCTACAGTCCTCACTTTGACCTACAGACCTCAATTTGACCTACAGTCCTCACTTTGAACTACAGTCCTCACTTTGAACTACAGTCCTCACTTTGACCTACAATCCTCACTTTGGCCTACAGTCCAGAGTAGAGTTTGTTACGATCTGTAGATCACCTCTATTTATTTTGAAATCATTTGGTTAAAGGTCAAGATCACTGTGACATAAAGTGTATGTAATCAATAACTAGAGATCACTTATCAGATACCGAAGGTTGTAGTTAGGTAACATGACAGATTGCTAACCATTACTGGTACTTCAATGTTTTGTTAACATCTCTTGTTTCTCTTTTTTTTATTTTAATTTGAGGTGATTTGATTTCCTGTGATATAAAAACTGCAATTGCTAGGAACATGATCAAATAGCTCCTGTCATTATTTTCATAACTCTTAATTCTTGTTATTTCTCTTAAAAAGCTATGAAACTTACTTTTATTCTAAATTCAATCTCTTAAAGAAAATGAAATACAGAAGAATAAGATTATTTCATTTAATTAACATGTAATGTCTATATGTTGATGCGTTACATTAGTGCATTTGTTAAAGTACATAAGTACATATTGATGTGTACATTGATACATACTGATGTGTACATAAGTAGATACTGATGTGTACATAAGTATGTATTGATGTGTACATTAGTGCATTTTGATGTGTACATTAGTACATACTGATGTGTACATAAGTGCATATTGTTATAGTACATAGGTACATATTGATGTATGCATTAGTACATACTGATGTGTACATTAGTATATATTGATGTGTACATTAGTACATACTGATGTGTACATTAGTACATATTGATGTGTACATAAGTGCATATTGTTATAGTACATAGGTACATACTGATGTATGCATTAGTACATACTGATGTGTACATAAGTTTATACTGATGTGTACATTAGTATATATTGATGTGTACAGAAGTGCAATTTGATGTGTACATTAGTGCCTATTGTTATAGAACCTTATAGTATATATTGATATGTAAATTAGTACATGTTTATGTGTTCATTAGTACATACTGACAAGTTGCATTAATACATATTGTTGTGGTGCATAATTGCATATTGATATTGAACATTTGCACAAATTGATGTGGTAAATTAGAATATTTTGTTTGATATATCTGAAACCTATTGATGTGGTATATTAGAACATTTTGATTGATATATCTTAAACTTAGTTGCAAACATTGTTTTCGATGATGTTATTGATATGTATAGTTTTGTTAAAGGATTATATAATAATGAGTACATTTAATTGCTTATCTGTAATGCAGTAATGTAGAATGTATATACAGAACATACTGTTTGATACTTTTTTACTATTTAAAAAAAATAGCTTGTGTGGTTTTGTAGAAAGGAGCATACTCCTATGACGGAATATTTTACTATCTCAATGCCTTTTACAGAGAAATTGTATGTCATCATTTGCTTTGTTTCATATGTTAACTAATTTTTTGAAATAATTGAAATACATCGGTAGCACTAAAAATTAAAACAGCAGTTGTAAATAGATATTTGTTTTTGTTTTGCCATTTATTTTTGTATTACAATTTGGCTGTATTTATTCTGGAGGTATGTTGTTTCCCCAAAGACGGGGAGAAATTGTTACTTCATGTATATAACCCACCCTAGAACCTTTTTTGGCAATGTTCCATTCAAAAAGATATCCCACCAGCATTACTACTATTACAGGAAAAAGAAAGCCACATCATTGGCTGTATGCAAACATGTTGTTTACCATTCTAATTAATTAACAAATCAAAATTCTAGTGATATAAATTTTAAATTTATTTTATATTTTATCAAGAAGAGTAAAAGTCTAACTTGCTTACTTGGTGTTAGGGGCCAGTTACACAGACGGTAGGTCCCCAACCGGTCATTTAATTTTAAATTTACTCGCTGTTATGATCGGTTGTCATGCGTGAATTTATTTCTGGTTTTCTGTGTAAACGGCCATCGGTGACAGGAAGCAAACTCAAACAGGGTTGGGTCGGTGATAAAAATACTGAAATACTATCGGTTTTTATCATTTGTTAATTGGAGCTAAATCGAGCATTACGCTGATTAATCGGTGTTTGATAGCTAGTCATCAGTGGTTAAACACTTTCCGTCAGATATGGCCGGTGATTCATATTTGGTTATCTTTGTCCGATCGACGCTATCCGTGATTAAGAGCTTGCATATCTTGTGATATAGGTTGCTGTCTGTTATTTGTAAAATATTTTCACCGATCAAGAATTTTAAACATGTTAAAAAATCCCAATCGGTAATTTTTCACAGATGAAACTTATCTTTCCCTAATAGCAGTTGACAGGTGGAAAACAGGTGACCAGTAGGTGATATTGGTGTTAAATATGTTGTCATGGGTTCACTCCATAATTTGGCTAAAAAAACTACCGATCAATCACCGATGGCTCTGTGTAACTGGGATGTTAACCATTTTCCTATTGCAAACACTTGTAAAATGATATTTTTAAAATACAGAAGATACCTCCCATAATACAGCAAGTTTTTTATTTTTACATTTTACATAGCTTTCTATCTTCACATAAGTTGATAACATGTATTCTTTTGTTGTTTTTTCTTTTCAAAATAGTTTACCAAATGTGACGCTTGTTTGAACTGGACTATTTATTTATTTTCTCTTTCAACAGATCAAGCTTTTGTTGATATGATAGTTTGTTTTTAGGGATTTTTTGTACTTTTTTGTATTTTTGTATTTTGTTTTAAGAGTGATTGTTGAATTTGTTCCTTGAATGAATTTTAATGAATAAAATAATTTCAAAAGATGACATTTATGTTATGACTAATTTAGATTTCATGGACAAAACCTCCTTAGAAACTTCAAGATCAGTAAAATGTAGCCCCTTTATTACATCAATCTGCATGTTGATGTATTCTTTCATCCCTTACTGTGTTTTGTAATAGATATAAATTATTAGTAAGTTTTGCCTCCTCTGACCGCGATAGAAACTCAAAACAAAATATTGTCATAGTTTTATGGTCCAAGATCTTGATAAATTAAAGGTTTCTGGTAGTGGAAAGAATTCTAAGGGGGGTAACTAACGTTGCACATATATTTTGTGTAAAAAATAGTTATTTCCCTTGGATATGAAAACTCTTACTGTAAATATAAGAATAAACTGATTCAAGTATTGTAATATATATTTTAAACACAATGCATGTTTTCAAATATCGAAACGACTGTTAGAACGTTAAAAGACTGAAAAAATGATTGCCTTTTATTAAGTTCCACCAATATCAAAGCCTTGTCCGTTTGTGTTTGGATAAATAAATTTCAATTTCCTTTCATTGGACAATCTGGTACGAGCAATGGCATTAAAGTTAGTAAGCGTAAATTGCTGACCTTGCAGATTACCTCAAACTGTCATATACTCGACTCCCTTATTGGCAAGGGAGATACGGGCATTACGGCGCAAATCAGTAAACGTTAATTTAATGGTGATTATTCTTTATGAACTTGCGGACCACTATAGTATACTGCTGTGTGAAAGCATCACCATACCGCGGAACGAAAGTGTCACCAAAATAAGAAAATACGGCGGAATATGTTATTCCAGATAACAACATCATTTGCCTCTACAAACACCATCATATCTTTATTATAACAACTTAAGTACAACCATATGTATATAGAATACAATGATATTACAATGGATAACAGTGGATTATACGAAACGACAACCTTATGGAATGTGATGAAATGCTTATAATATGTAACAGAAGTATATGATCACTGATAACTTATTTTGATGATGATAAATTCATCAAAGAATATTACGAGTATTCCATATACATTATATATGTAATTGTAATAAATGTTAGCGGTAAAATGTTATGTATGGCAGTCAAATGTTAGTTTATGTGTACCGCGTTTTTATTGTAGATTCATGTGCGTAGTAATATAGGCGAATGTCACATTTAAGATGGTCTGACGAAAACGGCCGTTGTTATAAAGATACGAATTCTTTTACTTTATTATAATACTTTATATTTTCCAACAAACTAAATTTTTATAAAATGTTTAGTCCCGCACGTATACTTCTCAACATGAAAATTCTGAAGACGAAAAAAACAATTGACTAAAAGTACAACTAAGGTGTGTTCAAGTTGGCATATTCTAACTGAGAGTACTAATGTGTTTGGACATTTTACAATAAATGTCAGTTTTACTATCAACAAACACAGTTACAGCTATACCACAATTGTTGCTTATATCTAGCCTATATATTGACAGGGTGTTTTGTTATCACCCCCATCAGTCCTTCCTTATTTCCTTGCATTGTTTGTTTTATATTAAAGTGTCGTCGTTCGTAGAAGTGCACCTGCTTCTGTTAGAGAAAAAAACTATTCTTGGTTTTTAAAATACCAAATATTTTGCAAGAGTATGCAATATATTATAAAAGACCTGAAGTAAGTGACATTCAAATCAAGTTTTGCAGAAAAACATCTCGCAGATAGGATATAAAAATTTCAAGTGCATTTGCTCTTAAGAGTTCCTGCAGAGATTCTTTACCTGTGTCCCACTTGCAGTAAATATCATAAAAAAACAAGGCAAACATTTGGAATCTTAATTGAAACACTTTGATGTTTGTTTGTTAATTTGCCACGTCTTCACAAAAACACAAATATGCCACTTGTCTGAAAAATATTTTTGCCAATATTCATAGCATAAGAATTTGTTTTGTCATTCATTTGACATTTAATATTTTGGCACATTTTTCTGTAGTGATGAAAACACCGACCTGTTATATAAGTGACGCAGTATTATCTGCAGGTAATGAATTCCAGAAACACGGAGTTTTATTCATTATCCACCAATTATCTGGCTAAAATTCGTTATACATCTTATGTTCTTTTTGAAAGAGTTTATTGTGTACAAAAAATACGCACGTACTGTACTAAGTATATCAAAAATATTCAACAGTGAAACAAGTTGGTTATAATTTGCCTTGTATCGGCTAGCGTATACAAATATACTCCCTTTTAAATATATTTTTGTCGAATCACTAAAATCAAAGAAATACTCTCTTCTTGAATGGAGATGTGGAGCGTTCTACTTTTAAAATAACTTAACATATGTAGATCAGCAAGGATATGAAGCAATGATGAGATGATGTTTTAGACATGTCAACAACAACAACAACAACAAAAGAAAAAACTATGATTGAAACATGTTTACGAATTATGAATGATATGAGCATGTAGAATTTAATATTGAAATATATCTAGCAGCCTATGTTTATATTAGCTATTAATGATATTACCGTTGTACAAAATATTTGCAGACTTAAACTATATTTACATTTATATTATGGTTATATGCCATGAATATGTTGTGGACTTAAGCTTGCATGTATATACATGTTTGTTTTAGCTCGGGAAGAGAA